AGTCAATGCCTTCATTCCCCAGTGACCCCAAGCGAGGTCTGTTGCTGCCTCCTATCTGTGTCTTTCCTCAGGTAGTGCTTTTGACTGAACTGAGCTACTTAGTTAAAGGTTATGATCCCTTCTGGGGAGGCAACCCACATCAGCGATTTGTCTGTTGTGGGGACACAGAGACCTTGCCCTTACCTCATTCTGTCACCCAAGCTCTAGAGCTCCCATGAGATGGGCTGAGCCTTGGGAGTAACTACATCAGAGCCCATTTTCTCTCAACCTATTTCCCATTCCCTCACTCCCCCAGTGTTATTCCCAAGAGAAAACCCCAATAAACGTTCTGCATACAAACCTTTCTTCTAGAGTGTTTTCCAGGAACTTGACTTAAGATATTCATTTTCAAAAGTACATGACTAAGCTCTTCTTTTGCATGAGGAAATCTCATGTTTTTTATCTTAACAAAAATTTACATTTTATTCCACTTTGCCCAAAGATTTTTATTGTATTGTAATACACCTTTAGGCTTAAAAGTCTTTTCTTCACCACCTTTTGTCATACTTTTTTGTAACTATATTATATAAATTAAAATTTAAAATTTTCTTATGAGCATAGGGTTCCGCATGTTAAGTTCTTCTAGGCTGAGCTATATCATTGCACTAATTAGTAATATACATGTGATCGAAGCAACATATTCATGCATTATAAATTTTGATACACATTACACAGAAAAATAAAAGTAGAAATGCATCTCTTAAGGTAGTAATATCTATTTTTAATTAGTTTTTGGCTCTGTGTACAAATGTTATTTGCTGCTAAATGAGAGTGTTGTAGTCCACATTCTGTTTTATTTGTATAGATGTATGAAAATAGTATTTGTGCATGCCACGTATGTGAGTGGATGGGAATGGAAGTGCTTTCACTGTATTGTGCTGCAGTGTTCTTTGAACTCCTTCTGAGTGATTTACCAAAAATCACAGCCTAATAAAATGCCAAAAATGATTTTAATGGCTTATCAGGTGATAACTTAATTAGGTCCTCATTTAGTTTTCTTGAAAACACAGAATTGAAAAACAGTTGACCTACAGAGGATTTCTTAACCAGTCATGAAAGCAGTTCCTTTTCTCCATACATACACCCTATTCCAAATTGTCCCTTTGTCATTTGTGACATCCCAGAGATAGCACAGTAAAATTGATAAATGAATGAAGAGTTGACATCTATTGTGAAGAGGGCGTGGGGAACTGGCAAAAAGTAAGGCCTTGAGTACTGGCCAGTTCTCAGGTCCATTTTATAACAAAAATGCACATGGAGCTTGAACATATGTGAAGCAGCCTTGCCAGTGAATTCCCTGGAAACCTTCCCCTCCTGTCAGAGGCACATGCACACCAGCCTGAAGGTCTCTGTGGCGCATTCATACCTAGATCCTGAACAACTGCAAGATAGCTCTTATTTTTTTTTAATCCTCATCTGACAATACATTTATTGCTGTTAGAGATGAAGAAGGAGGGAGGGAAGGGGAAGAGAGAGACACACATACTTAGACAGACAGGCTGAGAGAGAGAGAGATCGACTGGTTGCCTCTCAAATGCACCCTTACTGGAGACAGAATCCACAAGCTAGGTACCTGCCCTGACAGGGATGGAAATCACAACTTTCTTGGCGTATGAGATGACACTCCAACCAACTGAGCCAACCAGCCAGGGCTCCTATACTTTTAATAAAGACCAAGATACATTTCACAAAGTAGAGAACTGGTTCTTAAATAGACTTTGGTACTGGCCTCTCTGTCCCATAAATTTTTTGTGTACCTTATTTTTCCTAATCAAAAATGGGGGCATTGCATTATTCCCAAATATTGTAAGGATAGGCATGGGTGGTTCAGTGGTAGAATTCTCGCCTGCCAAATATTGTAAGGATTGCAAAGATTATTAAACAATCTGAGACTCTGGAAGGAATTTCAAAAAGAGTGTGCATTCTCAAACATCCAGCATTTTATCTTACAGAGATTAATGTTCCTATTATTTTGAAGAGCATAGATATCCTGCAACATAGCATGATATAAGGGAAAAAAAACTCAGAAAAAAAGAAGAAGGGTGAGTTTGAGAGTGACTTTTAAAGAATTCTAGCTGTATTTATTTCTCATTCTCTTGTACCTCTTGCTGCTGGCCATGGTGACAGGGAACTTCTTTTAAATGACACAATCAGGTGATATAGAAGACTGGAAGGAAATATTACCCAAGGTCACAAGTGGCCTTTCCTGGCTGTCCTTGAAGCTGCTGGAATATTTCATTTACTAGATAAATTTTCTTAAACCTTTCTTTTCTTTTCTCAATCATTTTCTAAGGGCAATAACTGTGGCAAAATTATTAATCTTAGAAGTGTTAAGAAACTCAACTATACTTTAAATTTATAACACAAGAGTGCATAAAGCCATAAAAAAGCCTTAACTCAAAAAATTCAAGTAGCCTAATTCTGCCTTGGTTGTCTACTTTTTTTCTTGAATTTTTAAAATAATTTCTCATAGTCTTTGATTGACAGCAGCTGGAAATATAATGTTCTTCTTGCCAATACAGGATATATTAAATAGATTTAATCTTTCCCCTTCTATATCATCTGATTGTATAATTTAAAAAAACTTCCCTGTCGCCTTGGCCAGCAGCAAGAAGTTTAAGAGAACAGGAAATAAAGGCAGCTGGAATTCTTTAAAGACATTCTCAAACTCACTTTTCTGTCTTTTCTTAAGTTTTTTCCTTCTTTCTATGAGTAACCAAAAATATGTAGAGTTTCACATAGAGTATATTAGCATATATATACACCTCTTCTTAGAAAGCAGTGTATGTGATAAAATGGAGTTTGGAGTAAGAAGAACCTGAGACTGACCATGATTTCAAACAAGCCACTTACATTTATCGAGTTTCTATTTACTTATCTATGGAATGCTAGTAATAACTTTCCTTTGTATGATCCCATGCATGTGAAAGACATGTGTGAATGCAGACAGTCAATATAAAGAGGTATACTCAAAAATACAGTCCAATGAAACTAATTCTCTCTGCTCTGCTTTATGGAGTTTAAAGAAGATTTTTAAAAATCTAGGCATTTATAAAGAACCATTTACATGACTTATCTGTAAACATATGGTTTATTTATGATTTTGGTAATGAAACTAGGAAAAAATCAGTTCAGTAGAGCATACCAATAATTTTATCAACATAGTATTTGCTGAGAAAGGATTCATTTAGTCAAACTATCACAACACAATTTCACGGTTAAACCCACATGCAGATTGTAGATTCATGTCACAGAATGTTTCGATGGAATGTGTTAAATATAAAAATAATCCAATGCAATTTCCATTTAACACATTGTACAAAACTCCTTCTTCAATGGAATTAACAAGTTTACAATTTTTTCCCATAAAGTGCTATGTATTCAAAGTGCTCTGTAGCATTGAGGTTGAGATCAAGGAACAAATACTGTAGAGTTTCACAGTAATGCAGCTCAGTAATAAAAGAAATTGGATATAATGTAGGTGAAATTCACTCAGAAAACAAAGGAGATCTATGATGTGCCATGAGTGCCATAATCCTCAATAGGGGGTGGGACTGAAAGACTTCATATACACATCATTACAGTCATAATAAAAATGATTTTAAAGGTGAATTTATCACCTTCATAGTGAGTACCCTTTCCTAGAGAAAGAAAGAAAACTAGAAAGAGCAACAGAAAAAAAATATACAGACATAAGCAAAGAGAGAAAGTTCACAATGCTTCTACAATCCACTTTTCAACTGAGACTAATCCTCAATACAATCAATAGCCCAAGAGAGCAGTTTCCAGACTTTAGACTACATGAGAATTACATGGAAGACTTGTTAAAACGACCAACTGCTAGACCCCACCCGCAGAGTTTCCAATTTAATAGGTGTAATATGAGGGCAGGAATTAGTATTCCAAGCGATGTTCGTATCCTGATCACATTTTGAGAGCCACTGTAGGCAGCCAGCATGGATTATATGATGATTTAGGGCAGAATTTCTTAATTTTGGCTAAATAGTAGAATCAGCTTGGTTTAAAAAAAAAAATGATACCTACACCCATCTAAAGCCAATTAAATCTGAATCTTTAAAGTGGATCCAGGGTTGAATCATTCATGCATTCAAGAAACTATCTCATAAAATTCTAATGTGTAGTCCAGCTGAAAAATCATTGCTTTACGAAATTTTTTTTACCTCCTCAGGTGAAGAAAAGAAAACCAAACATGCATGTCCTTTGGAGTACTGGTGTATGAGCAAAGACGTCTTTGAAGAAATCAATATCCCTTGTTAGCACACTGATACACAATTTCTAGCAATATTAGGTAGTAATTTAGAAAGTGATTGTGACTGTTGACTTATAATGCACTCCAGGGTTAGTTCACAGGTTTGAAATAACAGAACTTGGGAAAGTGAGAGCAGCACACTAACTTCATCCAAGTTTCTTTTCCATTGAATGGCATCAACCAAACAGTCTAGAGTCTAGAATGTTGGTATATGTGCCCATGTGCGATGTTATTCTGCTATAATTATATATATTGTTATTCATTTCACTCAGCTAAATTATTTACTACTATGATTAAAACTTGAGTGGCCCCACAAATAAGGCCCCCAGGGACAAAATTCCACAAGCATTTCCCAGTCTGCTTCAGAAAGCAAAACTACAGAAACACACACAAGAAACAAAGGACGCTTTGAAATTAGATTTCCCTTTAAATTGCGCTGCCCACATTAATAGAAGGAAAGACTATTTGTAAGTGATCATACATGCCATGGCATCACTTTACAGGTCTGGAGCAATCTGTAGCACTGAGTATCATGGAAGGAACTTTAGCCCACATTTTCACAGACCAAGTCATTAAAGCTCCAAATAGAGATTTTAAATAAAGCTCTCATTCATGAAACTGGGACTAATATTTGATTACAAATATAAAGGAATTTAAACAAACCCCATATTTCAGGATTGGGCCTATCACGTGATCTTTGGTAAAAGTCAAGCATTTGAACACTAACAATTTGATTTGAATATAGACATCTTAGCTTTGTTGACTAGGTAACAGCCTTAGAGATCTCCATTAGGAACCATGGACCCTATGTTCTCAAGGCGTTTACTGGGCTTCCAACCAGCACTGACAGATTGGGAACCTGTTCAGACAAGCAGAGTGATTTTTTTTTAAGATAAAATTTAAAGTCCCGGCAAGATGTTTGGGTGAATCTTTCTCCACTCTTTAAGTCTTCCAGAAGACATCTTTAAAATATCCTAAAAAGTAATAAAAAAAAAGATAGTAGAACTATGAATATAATCACTCAGTATAGTAGAAACTGGGCACTAAGGATATGAGGGCATTAAAGGAATAGGTCAAGAAAATGCTTAAAATAATTTTGGCCTTTTGTTACAGTCTTTAATATTATACATATATTATACTTTTTATGTATCTTTAATATTTTAATATATTTTATATATTTATGGCTATGTACGTATACATACATATATATTAAACTTCACAAAGCTGCAGAACTTAAGGCATATAGCCCATTTAAAGGCAAATAATCACAGCCGTTCCTTTAAACACTAAAAGGGAAATGAATTCTGGAACAGTTTGTTTCTTTCTTCCTGTGGTATGTCCCTGTGGCCCTTCATTTCTGTGTTTCCCCTTTGGGGCCCTGCAACGGAGATAGGGAACTCACTAATGCAGAGAGCTGTGTTTGCAAACACAGGGGACGTGATTTAGAGTTTGAAAGGGGATAGAGGAGGGTCCCCGGGTGTGCTTTGGCCCCACCTCCATCTCACCCAACCTGTCCTGATAGGTTGGGTTCTAAGCAGCACAGAACTGAAGCCTGTGCGCTGTGTGCATACAAGGGCTGATAAAGCAAGGAGCCAGCCCAAAGGGGAAGGGACCCCAGGAGGGATATTTTTTTAATCCTGCAAACCATCAGGCCTAAACTCACCATCTGCCATGAAGTCTCTTAGGCCTTCTTCTTGTTCAGGGAAACATCTGTGTTCTCACTTTCTCTTTGCACTGTATGCTCTTCTTGCTTCTCCAGGGTTCCAGGGCAATCGGCTTTTACAGGGAGCATTTCCACATCCGGTAGACTCTCTCTACTCTGCTCTGAGTCTCTCTCCTGGGATAATTCTAATCTGAAATCTTCAGCTTCGCCCGACTCCTGCGCCCCACCATGGCTCCCCATCCTTGCCTCTTCTCCCACTTCCCCCTCTGTTCGATCTCCCCCTAGCTGCAGGGCCTTCCCTTCCAGGTCTGAAGCTTCTCCTAGAGCTTTTCCCTTGGTCTCTGATGCTTCAGTCACTGTCACCTCCTCCAGGGTTGGCATCTCCTCCCTGCTCAGTACTATTTCCTCTGCCACCACCTTTTCTGCAGCTGCTGTTTTCCCTAGTAACTCATCCACTTTGTGCCAAGTTTCCTCACCCGTAACATCGGAAAAGGAGGAGGCTGTATTTGCTTCCGTTTTTCCCTCGGCTGTCTTCAAATCTGCCAACGCTTCTGTCTTCTCCTTGGCCATTTCTGCGGCTCCTCCTTCTTGGAGGTCTTCATCAGCCACAACCACTCCTCCCTGCAAGCCCCCATCTCCCTCTGTGTGCATGGCCTTCATCACTGCTGTCCTCAAAGTGCACTCTTTATCCACCTCTTCCTCTGGGTGCTCATCCATCACTTCTTCACATGGCGTTTCTGCCATCATGGGCTCTCCCTCAGAAATATCTTCTTGGGTGATCGCCAAGGCCCCCACTTCCTGTCGCTCTTGTAAAGGCCCTTCGTTTTCCCTCGTTTCCATTCCTACAAGGTCATCTTGATCTTTGGCTGCACACTCTTGAGCCTTGCTTGTGGCTGTGATTGTCACCTCAGCTGCCTGAGCTTGTCCTGCAGAGTCACTTTCAGGAGCTCCTAACACACCCTCACCCACAGGGCCAGGTCCTTCTTCCTGCTCAGACCAGGCCATATTCTTCCCATTCTCTCCGCAGAGCTGCTCTGCTTTGCCTTTAGGCTCTGCATCTCCAGATTCTCTTGGTCTTTCCCTTCCTCCCTCTTTCCTCACAGCTATTATGTTTTCCGGTGACTTTTCAAATCCAGGTGCTGTTTCAAACATGGACACCTCCCCCTCTCTCAGTGAACCTTCTTGCCGTGCAGTGTCTTCAGTCAATTCAGAAGCCTCCACGGGTGTTTCATTCTCAACATCACACTCCATTTCATTTTGGGGACCTTGTGTCTCTTTCTCAGATCTTAATTCCTTCACAATTTCCCCCTCTTTCCCTTTAAACTTTTGCTCTTCTTCTAAAATGTCTTCATCCTGACATGCATTTGCCCTTGTCACCTCTTCTCTCTCAGATTCAGTTTCCCCCAGAGGTGTTTTTGGCCTCTCAGCTTTCATTCTCTTTCTTTCCACATCTAATTCCTCAGGTAATGTTTCTTTCTTATCATCTTCCTTATTAGATTCTACTTCAGTCTCAACTTCCTTCCTTTTCTCATCTTTCTTAGAAAGTTCTTCTAGGTTTTCCTCCAAAAACTTCATTTGGGTTGTCTCAGCCTTGTCAGAAGCTGAGGAGCTCAAAAGTGTTTCAGTTCTCATAACTGCCTTCCTTGTTTTGGCTCGTTCCTCTTCTCCAAGTATTGCCCCTTCTAAACCAACCTCTCTCTCCAACACAGTGTCTTCCTCAGGTCCCATGTCCCCTAGGTCTATAGATGCTTCCTCTTCACTCTCTTCCACATTTGACATTTCAGACCCCACCTCACTCACAGCCACCCCTCTCTCAACCTCTTTCTTCCCTGGCATCACAGTCTCCCTCAGGGCTGCTGCCTCCTGAATACACTCAGACTCTGGAGCTGTAGCCTTGCTTGCAAACACTGCCTTCTCCGAATCTTGTTCCTGTTTAGAATCTGCCTTCTCTGTCTCCAGCACTATCCAAGTCAAGGCCTGCTTTTCCGGAGCCTCTTCTCTATTCAGACCTTCAGAGGCCCTTGCTGCTTTTCTTCCCATTGGCTTTAACTCCTCTTTATGCAGCTCTTTATCCTGTTCTACCTCTGCCCCACCTGCTACGCCCTGAGGGATATCTCTTTCCTCTATAAATACTTCTGCTAAAGCTGGCTGCTCTTCTGTTGGCTTCCACTCCCCCAAGGGAACCTCATCAACTCCTGCTTTTCCCCACTGTGTTGCACCCCCTTTTTCTTCTATTGAATCAGCATCCCTGAGTTGAGGCACCTCATCTTCTTCCATTGCTTCTTCCTCCTTTGGCTTGGATTCCTTGTTTGAGTTGAGGGCTGTGCTTTCTTCCACCACTAAATTCCTATTTGGTGCTACAAAATAAGGTTAGAAAACAAGGCAACTTTAATCCAAGTGCACAGGGAGGGGATATGATATGTAATCTTATATAATATGAGATATTTTATATATAATACCAAAGGGCCAATGATATTATATATAAAACATTTTCTCCATTCTATGATGCCATTGACTATAACATGCTCCAAAATGGCTTTTCATGATGAAATGAGATACTATCAAATTTAATGGCCACATTGATAGTAAAGGAAAATTGAACATTAGAAATGTTGAAAATAAATAAAAACTCCATGTCTTAGAAAAATAAAGTCTCTCTTTCTCTCTCTCTCTCTCTCTCTCTCTCTCTCTCATACATACACACACACACACACCCTTCCTACTTTCATTTGAAATATTAGGACCTGCAGCAAAAATTATGCAATAAGAAAAATAGTGAGTATGTTATCTTCTTAGAAATCATTGTTTCTTATAGCACTATAATATACTTATCCTTGGATCCGGTTTTTGATATTCACATGGGAATTTAGAAACAATCATAATACAGTTTGAGCTCATCATTATCCCATACATTACTCCCACATTTTAAACTGCTATATCTAGACATAGTAATCAAATAACTTTGTAGCTTACGGTAAGACTTTTTACTAAAGACATCAATTTGTATTATAGGTCAGGATGCCTTCCATCTGTGTTCAGAAACTGATTCGCCTTTGGCAAAACAGGATCATAGAGTAAGACAAGACTTTGTGCTCTGGGACAATTTTCAATATAAATAAACTTCTTGAAGTATTTCATAAGTTTTCATCCAGAATTCCTTGGCAAATCTGGGTGTACTAGCTGTCATATTTCAATAATACAAGTTCAATGTGTTTCTTAAAAGGCTTCAAATTCATTTGTTATTATTTAAGAAACACATGTATTTCTGTTGAAATGATCTACACAAAATAAATACAGGCACATCATACCATATACCCAAAGCACTTAAACTTTCCTACTGCAGAATAATACTTTGAAAGAAAGACCTTCTAAAATGGTCATCTTAATTTCTATTAATTTAAATTCTTTCACTTATAGAAGACACTAGACTAGATATTACAAAATAAGTTGTCATACCAGGGTGTCAACCTCCAAATTATGTAAACCTATAAAGTAAGCAAATGTGTCTTCCTCATTTTTTTTAGTTGCTTGCCATTTCATCTACTACCCTATTACCAAGAATCTATCAGAAACTTAAAGCCCTGATCTTATTCACTTCTTTTGTAGTCTGATACCCACCCAGGACTGTCTCGTCACTTCATTTCCTCTCCTAGCACAAAGCATGGATGTCCTATCTTGCATTCCCTTTGTCTATTGCCAGCAATTATAACTCATTTTACATTCTCCTTTAAAAAAAGTATTTGGAAGGTAACTTTTGATGTCTTCTTTCAAAAGAATGACATAGACATTTCAGGCCTACAAATAGTGTTGGTGTTGACTTTTATAGGTAGTCCTCAGCTTATCATAGTGGTTATTTACTAAATTGTATCTAGAAGGTCCCAGGGGAAAATATTAAACCAAATGTTTACTAAGAGAACATGTAGCCAATACATCTGAAGGACTATGGTCCATTTTATTTCATTACAAATTATGACCTGATTTAAAACAAAATTAAATTAAAATGGTGAGAAATGTGTCAAGTCTCTTCAATGGTATTTCTGTTGTTATTCAAATTACTACTTGAAATATATTAAAAATTCAGTTATGAAAGACATTTAAATAAAGTCCTCTATTTTTCTAAACTGGCCTCTAAAGTTATGGATTATTTAAAGACCATTCAGGAAAACAGGGGAATTGCCTCCTCACCATGTACTAATATACTATGTCCAAATTCTAAAAGAGAAAATATTAATGGCATCCAGTTGAACTATTGTATGAACACACACTGTTGGGGAGTCAGACATCACATTCCTGAAACCAAGGAGAAAGGGTAACTGAAGCCCTTCTAAGAAATTTCAGTACAAAAATATGACATATTTTTTTATGGTAACCTTATGGGCTTTTGAAAAAAAAAAGAAGAAGAGAGCAAGCAATGTTCACAAACAGGGGTAATTTTACTTATGGAATTAGTGAACATCTGGGAGTCAGACACACCTGGGCGAGAACACCAGCTCTGCCACTTGGGAAACTGCCTGTCTAAGCCTTCGCTCTCTAACCCATAAAACAGGAATAGCAATGCTTGACTCACAGAATACTTGTGATAGTAAATTGTAAAGTGGTTAGCACGGTGCCTGGTGCACAGAAAGCCATAACAAATCTTTTTTCCACGTTTTCTTCCCATTGCTTACAATATATGTTCTTGCTTTAGCTGGATCTGGTCTAACAACTAACAGTCAGCAGAATGTTTGAGGAACTCCTCTGGTTTAATGCCCACTATAAAAGATTTGGATGCTTCAAGGTCAGAGTCCTTGTTCTAAAGGTCAGCTGACTGTATGTTGAAATGTCACCTGGCCCTCTCCACATTGTCTCGGGGGAACTGGAGCTCAGAGAACCACCTAAGTGCAAATATTCTGGTTAATGCTGGGTTTTTGTGAGAATAAAGTTTTTTTCCTCTGAGCCAGGAGTCTTATGTCTTCTGTTAGCATCCATGAAACTATGGCTGGCTAACTTGTTTGCTTGAAAATGGGGTAAAATCTCAAATACCTCACAGTGCTTGATAATTATCATTAAAAATTAGAGGGGGAAGTAACAGGACCATGGGTTGAATAAAATAAATACCCCCCCACTCCCTCACACACATACATATGTTCAAATCAGGGAATTTTTTAAAAAGTCATTCACTTAATATGGGCAATCCTGATTTCGAGGGCACAGGATGCTTGACCACATATATATAGAATCATGCCTGTTGGGTCACGCTAATTGGCAATCCCGAAGCTGGAATACTTATCATCAGAAGCCAGATCATATGTTGATGGCAATAAATTCTTCTCTAATTTTAAAAAGTAACTCAAATAAGTCACTATGAAATGGGCCTTGGTTCTCCATGTCTCCAGTCTTCCTACCTGGGCAACTAACTGGGAGGCAGGCTGTAAAATAAGACTGATCTGAAAATCCCTATCAATGTCTTTTATAACCCAAACGGTTCCCCCCGCCCCCAATTCTAGGCATCAATGTATTAAAAAAAATAATAACATCTATATATGTTATCAGCTTTAAATCTCCTTTTAAGGCCTCTCAACCACCTCCTGCCATCACATTGATTAGTTGAACAGAAAAGAAAGCTGAAAGAAGGAGAAAACAAGAATAGGAAGATAGAAATGAGGCTGTCATTGGCAGAGGATTTCTGAAGGTTTTTCCTAGGTAACGGTGTGCCCTTACCTGTACCTGTGTCGGTCTCCAGCTCGGTCCCGGGCTTGTCCCCCTCAGCTGCGCTGCTAGCCCCAGACTCGGCATCACAGCGGCTGTGGCAGCCAGGTCCCACAGCTTCAGCTACTACCTGTCCAACTGATTGGAGATCATATAAAATATCAAGAGGTATAAAAACAGGTCATGGGAATATTGCTGAGCTATTTCACATCATTTCAGCAAACAGGGTTAATTTAAAAGCATTCCCATTAAAATGTTATCTTGTTTTAAAAATCTATTAGGATTAAACAGCTTCCAAGCTATGATTTTAAAAAGAAAAGACAACAGAAGATCATGAAGTAAAGAAATTCATGCAGAGAAATACTTGCATTATAAAAAAATGACAACAGCCAGAAGCAGTGACAGATTTTCCAAATGCACATGCAATAAAGTGATTGAAAAAAAAGTTTGGTTGCCTTTTTCTTTCTAGAAGCGTGTGTTATGGCTTTTATAACACCAATCACCACTGCTCTTTTAAATTGCTAAAACCACCAGAGCTGACTATACTATGAGCATTTCATCCATTAGTACATTTCAGTGATTTGACCTCAGTACTCACTCCACATGGACAGAGCAAAAAGCTATTGCATGTTTCCTATAAATTTGACAGGAAAACTTGTAGAAATTCCTGTTATCTGCAGCTGATTAGTAGCACAGAACGTCAAGAACACAAAGACCCATATTCCTTGCTAACTGTTGGCAAGTTTTGGGCCCAAGCCTAAGCCTCAGTTTACTCATCTGTGAAAAAGAGGTATATATCTACCCAATGATTGTTGGGTAGATGAAATAATAAGGGTGGGCAAAAGTAGGTTTACAGTTGTGAATAAATGAAACACAGTTAATTATTGTATTATTATTTATTAATCATTTTATTCTTTTCCATATGAACCGTAAACCTACTTTTGCCCACCCCTGTGAAGTAATATATGTGGAGCATGCTTATCTTTCATTATTAGCAAGTGCCTAAGCACTTAATAAATAATGGCCATGATAATGATGACTATGAGCATGGCTATTATACATAGTGTCACCCAAATGTGATATGATTCTAGGCAACACTGTAATATCAATTAAGTTTGTCTTTAGTCTCGGACATGTCCCTGTCTACATCCCTTGCTTATCTTCTAATTCCCTGGCATCTACCATTATGCCACCGTCTGGTTAACAAAGCTCCCTCAAATAACGCTAGATCTAGGTCGGCCTTCCTAGATAGGAACACGATATACCCAAAATACTCTTCCCTGCCTCCCTCTCTCCTTCCCACTCTCACTCCCTCCCTTCTTTTTGCTTTCTTGTTTTCTTTCCTCTCAGATATTCTGATTCAGTTGAGGTACTTTGAGAAAAACAGAACTAGAATATGGTCTCTTGCTTGGTTTAAGGTGATTTGCTAAGTTAGTTGCTTACTCATCCCTCTGTGTTTGGAAACAAATAGTGAAATATCTGCCTTATGTGACTTTTGGGGGAAAATTAAATGACAGCTCTATTAATCTTAAGAGAACAAAAATGGAAATGAGAAGAGGTGCATCACATAGTTCAAATGTATTCCTTTTAAGAGTTTTTTTGAACATCAATTTTCCTTATTCATACAATATGCCAACTAGAAAAGTTTTAAAATGATAGTTTAGAGATGATATCAACTTAGGAAAATTAGGTTATAGCTTAGTTTGTTATCAAGTCAACCTTTATTTTAGCAATTTACAAACATAGTACATATAAGTTAAATATCATCCTCCCCACTCTAATAATGTTATGCCATATAACTAGAGAATTTAAATAAGTAGTGTTTTAGGTCTTTTCGTATAAATCTGCTTGGCTGACTAAGCATTAAAAATCCCAAGGATGGTAGGACAGGTGATGGGAGGAAGTCTGATTTGCTAGCAATCACTTGAGCTTTTGTTTCCAAAGAGCCAACAAGACATCAAAGATTTTTTCCAAGTACTCCATAGGCTATAAAAAATATGGCTTAGTATACAAATATTGAATCTTTATGTTGTAGACATAAAATTAATATAATCTATGTCAATTATACCTCAATAAAAACTTTTAAAGAAATAAAATACTAATACACTAATAATAAGAAATAATTTAAAATAAATTAGCAGCTATTGAACCAAAAACTTAATTCTAAGATGCCAAACAGTAATAGCATAATCTGAAAATTACAACTCACTCAGAATTGACAATGCAGCATGTAGTCCCTCTGTCTCAGGACTGTAATGCCCACTTGCCCGCGTCTGCCAGCTCGCCCTGGAGGGTTACGCTTTGGAAGTAGATGAAAGCCTGTACAGTCAGGTGTTGCCTGTTTCAGATCCAGCAAGAATGAGACCCTGGCCTCAGCATCAAGGACTTACTAGGTGTGAGACCAGAAAATGCCTCACTTGGTCATTTTTTTTTTCAGCTATTCCTCTGAAACTGAGCCTTAAAAGCAAGTACTTGGCCAGTGTCTAACCTCAGCCATTTTTCTCTTACAGTAAAGGAGGACTGTGCGTGCTGGGACTCCCAGGCCAGCAATGTGACACTTTGTTCGCTCTAGTTAGTTAGCCCTTCTTCCCTCAAGGCTCCTCTCTTTTACCTCTCCATGACGATGACCATGAAAAGCAAAAGCTATTGTCAGCTTCCACAGCTTTCATAGCAAAATGACAGAGACTTACATAGAGCATTTCTTAGAAAAACATTTTTCCACTCAAATGATGATCTGGCATGGATACATGGAACAGACTGACAGCTGTCAGAGGGGAGGGAGTAGAAGGGACTGGATGAAAGAAAGTGAAGGGATTAGCCAGAGAACATGCATGCGTGACTCACGGACACACACAACGGCATGGTGACAGCCAGAGGGAAGGTGGAGCAGGGGCTGCGTGGAGGTGGGCAGAGGGGGGAAATGGGGACACCTGTAATAGTGTCAATGATAAAAATAAAGAAAAAAATGATAAAATAATATACCAAAATATTCTTGGAATCCAATGTTAGCTTTTGTATTATGAAAACACATATTTTAAAAATAGTGTATTTTTCTAAATATGAAACTAGTACATATTCATTAGCTAAATCTTGAAAACACAAAAAGTACAAAGAAGAAAATTTTTTTTGAATCTTAATTTCATCATGCAGAAAGAACTGCTAGTTAACATTTTTGTGGATTTCTGAGTATTATTTTTTTACTCTACTCTTATTATGGGTAGCATTTTGTATCCCATTTTATTCATGCAGCAATATGTTGTGACTATTTCCAAATACCATTAAATATAAAAGAGTCTTCAATAACTGTATAAAATGCTCTAGTAAGATTTTACTAAAATTTGATTAATCAATGGCCTGGTGTTGGATATTATTTTCTTTTGTGTGTGTAATTATAAAACTATTTTAAATACCACTTACAATCATTTTATACTTATTTTGGACTGTTCCCTTTGGATAAATTCCTGAAATTAGAATTTCTGGGTCAAAGAGCATGATGTTTTTAGAAGCTTTTGATATATTTCTATATTATCTATAGAAAAAGGGGTATCAATGAACAATTTTACCAATAATGGTGAGGCCTAATGTCCCTGTAATATTGTCAACAATGTCACAGTTTCCACCAGTTCCTTCTATATTTGATAATTTAGTAGTTGAAAAGTGATAGTAAGAATATGGTTTTCAATAGTAATAGACAAGCTTTCTAAATTCGTTCCCTCTCCTCTGCTTGTTTTGAAACAAAACAAGCTGATTTCATCTTAAAACCTACTAAAAATCCTGAGTAATTCAATATCACAAGAAAGTTTTGCCAAGGACTTTTCATCTGAATTTTAAGAATATAAAAAAAGCCATAAAAGCAGAGTAAAGATATATCCATGTTCATTCCAAGTTCCTGGTCACCTTGAAAACTACCCCTGTGCTTTGATCTTTCTTTACATGGTCAATCAATTATCTTCCCAACAACTCACGATAACAAAATTCATAACTAACATCATCCACCGACACAGTAAAGATGTTCCTGTGTTGCCTTTGGCATTGAAACATGGCCCACAACAAGCTAGGATTAATTACAAACTCAAGACCACAGCTGTTCAAAGATTAACAGTTGCAGAAGGCTGAAGTCCATCCTCTACACAGTAGCCACAACTGTCTTTTCACGACTTTCAGATGATGTCACCTCTATGTTCAAATTTTTCCAAAGACTTCCAATCTTAGAATCAATCCTCCCCACGGCATACAAGGGTCTGCCTCTGGTTTCGTCTTTCGCTGCTCTCTGGGTTGTCCACCCTCCTCCTGTCACGCTGGCCTACTTTCTAAGTCTTACACTCAGCAACTATGCCTCCAACGTAGAGTCTTTGCCTTTGCTGTTCCCTCTGTTTCTTTTCTTCTCTTACTCCTGTAAGCCACTATTCATTCAGGTCTCTGCTCAAATGTCCCCTCATCAGAAAGATCATGCCTAAAATACATCTCCTTCCTCTAACCCTGACTCTATCCCCTCACCCTCACTTATTTGTTCTCTAGCACTTAGCCTAGATACCCCATTACATGTTTATTTTCACTTGTTAGGCATATCTCCTCCCAGAATATAAATTTCAGTACAGTCAGGAACTATGTTACATTTGCATGAAGAACAGTGTGAATTAAGAAGATACCGAACAAACAGTTAATGACAGGAAAAAAAATCTATTTGAACAAACAACTACATGCTTTTATATTCCATTCAGAAATTGTATTCAGACTGCAACCTGTAACGCATGGTTTTCTTGTCCTTTCACCAGGACCATTCTATCCTGCTTGCCTGATGATAAAATTGCACTTCACTTTAGTCATAACATTATTTAGGTTTGAATTACTTGGCCAAGCACCATGAATTCTCCTGATTCACATATAAAAGTATAAAATGCTTACTTCTGTATACATTTTAGATTATATTTTATATTATAATGCTCTATTCTTAATATTTTATTTATATTCAAAATGCATAAGTTATATTAACTTTACAAATTAATATGTCTGAATTGTTCCACTGTTAGAACATACTGCAAAGATTGTATCACAATGCATTAAAGCAGCTTAAACTAAAAATAACTGAGAAAAATAAACATGCTAACATAATACTCTGCCCTTTAACTAAATTAACCCCCAAGGACATTCTCTCATAGTAGCTAGCAATTATAATCTTTTACATTACCTACTTCACTGTATTCAACTCATCTTTTATATCAGTTTACCAGAGTTTTTAGTGGACTAAACAAAGCCTAATTGAGACATATAAAATAATTGGAAGGAAAATATTTCTTTATGGTTTCAACCTAAAAGGCAAAAGGCATTCAATGTAGTACTTTGCTAATTTATCCACTGCTATGATCTTAAGTGAAAACAATTCAGATTAATTTATATTAGTGTAGACATTATAAAACATCATTAACTGTATGTAATGTCTTAACCAACAGATCTATTGTTAATATGAGTTTTTATTTTGTCTAGTTGAAAAGTAATTCAGCACCGTAAAAATATGAGAGATAATCTTTTATATATTATCTCAGCCCCCATTTCATTTTAACCTAAGAGTTTAATCAGAAATCTAAATAAAAGATACACATTTCAAGCTTTGCCAGCCTTCTAGCTTAATTCATAGAAGGTGTGCTTTGCAGCATGCATACTCATCTAAATGGCCTTCATTTCAAACATGTAGCTTTGATCTCATCCCTCTCTCCTTGAGCCATTTAACTGAAGACTCAATTAAGAAAGAACAACTAGCCATCATCTCTTTGTTTGCCATCAATATCAATATCACAAATGATGCAATCATGACTTGGTTGATTTTATCTAAACTGTTCTTAGAAATGTTTATTAATATATCTTTGAGAATATGTATGACTTCTTTTATTCTGTTATCTCATATATTTACATATTTATCGCATTCTTTCTTTGAATATGTTTTAAAAACATCAGCACCCAACTGTTACAATCTATTCATTCTTAGGTTTTGATAGCATTAATCCTTCTACATAATTTTCAGTATTTTATATGGTCTTTGCTTCATTTTACCTATTAATGTCTTATTTTCCATGCACTTTATAATATCTGCCTCTGGGTCTTCATGACACAAAAAATTTGTTCTTTTGTTGAAGGTGGGTCATAGAACAAATATATCAGTTCTTGCACAAAAGAAAAACATCTTAAAGAAAATTTTCAAAGTTATGAAACGCTAAGGTAATATAATGGACTACCATATTTAGTAAATAAGAATAAAGTACAGTTGGGTGTGCTGATATGAAAATCTACCCAAGAAACAGTTCAAGTTTAAAAAGAAACAAGCTGTAAAACAAAGTGTATGTTTTCACCTGTATATAAAATAATATATATGTATATGAATACATTTATATATGTTATAAATAAAATTTTCTGGAATCTTCTATTTTGAAAAAACTATTATCTACTGTTATCTCTCTGTCTCTTAGAAAAGAGTAGAGGCTGAGCAAGGGACACTGTAGCTTTCACTTGATTCTCATCTGTTCTGTATTATATAAACTTTTCAACCAATCTTCTGCAAGAAAAACATTTTTAGCAAGAACCTTAAAATCTTGATAATCTTAAATCCAGAAATTATATTTCTTGTATCCTAGCCTAAGAAAATAATCATAAATTTGAAATTACCTTTAAGTAGTGAGATACTAGAATAATAATAGTGAAAAAATGAAAAATATAAATATCCAACAATATGGAAATGATTAAATTATGAGAAAACCACAGAATATAATAACAGATAGTAGACATAAAGATTACATAAAAATGCTTAGGATATAAAGTTAAGAATGAAAAGTAGTACATATTTTATAAAAGTATGACAACATAACTTGTAAACCTTATTTTTAGCAATAAAATCCTGACCAAATGTTGAAAATGATTTTTTTGTGTGATAAATTTTGGGGTAATTTTTTAAATCTACTTTTCTCTATTTTCTAAATCTTAATTCATAAACTGTTCATGAAAAATAAACACTAGTAAAGAGATTCAGTAGATATATCAGAGCTTAAGAAAGATAATCACAAAGCTTACAATCTAGTCTTGAAACTACCTTAATAAAAAGATAATAAATGTTTTAAAATTATAGATGTTATCAAGTCAAGAATACAGAGTTGTCATAATGTTTGAGAAAAGTAATAAATATATACACTTTCACCCCACAACTCCAGAAAAAAGAAAACCCACTTTCTTCCAAGTGACATAATCTTAGTTCAGTGTTTGAAAATGTTGGGGATATTTGTGTTATAATCCTAGGGCAGAGGTTGGGAACCTTTTTCTGTAAAGGGCCAGAGAGTGAAGTATTAGGGCTTTGCGGGTCATGGAGTCTCCGTTGCAACACCTTAACTCTGCCCTTGTAGTGCCTTGTATTGCCATGAATTAATATGTAAATGAATGAACATGGCTCTTTTCCCATAAAACTCATTTCCTAACACTGAAATTTGAATTTAATATAATTTTCACATTACAACATACATATTATTCTTCTTTTGATTTCTCCCCCAATCATTTAAAAAAAACATATTTAGCTCACAGGCAATACAAAAAGAAAAGGTAGTAGGCCAGATTTGACTCATGGGCTGAAGTTTATCAAACTGTTCATTCTAGAGTTATTTTTTAAATTATTTGAAGGTTATGTCTTTTGCTACATCCCACTGTCTGTAATGCTTTTATCCTCCTCTATTCCACCTTCAAAATCTTATTTAACCTTTTAGGGCTTCCTCAAGCAAATCCTTCACAAAAGCTTTCAAGGTATCCTTAACCAAATGGGATTTCTGTTCCTTTGAAATTCCATAGCATTGTACCTTCCCTAGTTTTATTTACAATATGGCAACTGAACTTTGTCCAGTTACGGGCGTACCAAGCCTTATTTCTAACATTTTATGGGAAGAATCCTTTCTTACACACTTTTTATTGACCATGGTGCCCTGTACATAAAAGGAGGTTATTAATAATGGCAGAATTGAAAAATAACTATCAACAGCTTCAATTCCTAGTTGTAGGCCCCGGTGGTTTAATAGCAGCTTTGAAGTTTCTAAAAGAAATATAGACATGAAAAGTATTCATAACTTTTAAAACACAAGTGGATTTTAGTTATATTTAAATGTGAAAACAAATTTTGCCTTGGAATCAAGAGGAATGTCCACCATGGTGGCAGGGAAGCCAGAAGTGAGAGAGCAGGGAAACGCAGGAGATGTGAGTTACAGGGCACAGGGTGCTCGCTGTATAAGAACCAAATGTCCGGCAGGCACAGTCCAACTGTTCACAGGACACAAGTCAGATTTTTAGCTGCCCTCATGTGTCTAAGGTACTGGGACCTGATGATGCTGGGGCATGCCTCTGCCCTCCCTGTCAAGTGAAGCTATCCTACACACCCAGGAATCCCTGGACAAGGAAGTCACTCAGCTTTAGAGAAGAACTCAAAATAAAGTTTGGAGTTTTCTATGAAATGTTCGTATTTTTACTTCAGTCTAAAAATTCCTATTGCACAGATACAATAGGGCATTTTTAGAAATTGGAACCACCCTGCCTAAATTCAAATCCTAAGAATGCTTATTACCAACTTACTTAACCTCTCTGAGTCATGATTTTGTTATCTGTAAAAAGAAAAAAATGATGCTGATAATAGAACCTAACTCATGGCAATATTGAGCTGTGGTGAGGATGAGATGAGTTAATATACGTGTCTAGAACTAGCTCCTAGTAAGCACCTGTCAATGTTAGCTATGGATGTATTTAAGTGCGTATATAGCTAAAGACAAATAGCATTGCAGGTTATAACCTCTAAAAAGCCACACACACCCTTGCCTTCAAGACATGTATTGTGTTTTATTTGATTCTTGAGATAGAATTACCATAGGAAGAAATTTACAGAAAATAGGAAACATGCTACATAAGAATCATCAAGTAATTTTTAAAATGCAATAGAAGGAAAACAGCAAGCTGAAAATATGTGTATGATTATGTGACAAAGAGAGAAATAGGACAAAATTGAATCCCTCTGGCATTATCACAATAGTATTGCCTAAGCTTTGGCAGAATGCAATGACCAAAATCAGCTTCCATGCATGGGGACAACGGCAGGCCAACTCAATGACCATACTTACCACCTTTCTCCACCCTACAAGGACCTGCCTTTTTGTCCTTCACCTTAGCAGTGCTTCCTTTCCAAAGTTCATGCCTATAATTTTCTTCCTTGGAACCATATTCCCTGGACTTCTCAGCTAAGCCCTCTGCAATCACTTGGGTTCCTTCCTTTGTTTCTTCCTCAAGAACATCCTCCAAGCTTTCCTCTGTTAACAGAGGCTTGGTCTCCACATTTGCTTTTATTATCTTTTGGTCTTCAATTTTTAAGGAATCCTCAGTTGGAAACTGTGATTTTCCTGGCTCATCGGTTTCACTCAAATCCTGAGTAGATGAGCTTCTGATGCTTAAGTTTGGGCTGTTGTCAGCCTGTGTCTCCCGGGCCCCCAGTGCAGATTCGTCTTCACTGCAGCTAGAATACGGGTGACTTCTGGATGAGGATGATGAAGCAGTCTTTAGATCTACAAACCACAAAAGTGGTCACATTATTGTTTTTATAAAGCAATTGGTTTAGTTGTGGGAATTATGTTAATAATTACTCACACAAAATTGTTTAATATAGTTTAGTAAATTTGATACCCTTTTCCCTTTCATTCTACGTAGTTGTCATGATTAATAAAAAAAACAAAAACCAAAAAACCTGTGTCCTCTGTGAGTCTATAGAAGTCGTTAACGGTAAATCACACTTAACTAAAACTCAACTATATTTATCTTTTAGAAAGCCAAACAAAGTATTCTCTGTGAATAAAACTTAAAAGTTTTATCTTCTTTAACACCCACCATACTAGTATCCCCTAGAAGCTGGATATGGTGAGATCTTATATTTGCATAATACCTAGACACAATTAATCTTTTGAGAAGACGTGTGTGTGTGTGTGTGTGTGTGTGTGTGTGTGTGTGTGTGTGGTATGTGTGTAGAAGATGATGTATTATTTCAGGTTCCCCAGAAGCAAATGCTGAGATGAGGATACATGTGCAAGTGATATATTAAAGATATAGTATATGCTCCAGGAGAAACTCTACATGTGTGGGGGAGCATGGCAGGGAAGGAAAGAAGTCAATCAAGGGAGCTATTTCAAGAAACATTTAAACCTCAGTCTGATCCTGTAGAGACCTCTTAAATCTAAATTATATTAGCATTTTTTTTCTCCCTTGAGGAAGGAGTTGACTTTCATACTCTGCTCCAGTCAGACTTGACTACAGGCCAGCCTAGGGGCATGTAAATTCCTTGGCACTTCCAGGCTCTTTGTGCCTGAAGGTGAAACAACTGCAGTGGCTAACGGCTGTCTTCTGAAGAGGGCACAGTGTGCAGGAGCTGAGAATGAGCACACAGAATCCGTAAAAGAGAGTCTAGGAGATCCAGACAGAACCCATATGTGACACTACAGATAAGCAGTCTAGAGATTTATCAGGCTAAAAATGGTTTAGTAATTACTACCCCCAAAAAACTTTTAAAAATCTACAAGAAAGTGTCACACGCACTGAATCTCAATAAGAAAGATTAACAGCCTGAAAATCATGGCATATACTTCTGCAGCCCAGAGCAATACAAACTCGTTTTTGAATTCTTAATTAACATATCTGTGTCTGTGTTTATAATTGTTTTTAATAGAATGTATTTTCAGGTGAAGTATCTTACACTTAAATGGTGCCTAGCTTTCTTATTTTCTCTTCTCCGTGTGCTCCTTACCCTTCTTTCTGTTTCTTTTATTTTTGCTTGGCAGCTACACAGATGGCTGTAGCACTTGATGCAGAGATTAAGGGAAGAAATAACTGTCTTAACTCTTATCCTCTTCCCTTGGTTCCTCCAACCCCAACAGCTCTCCATGACAGGTCTTAGCATTTTAAGTATAGTCTCAGGGACACATCAGAGTTTCCACAAAGATTCGAGAGATGCTACACAGCAGTAAAAACCAAACTCTGAAAAGCCTGCGAGCAACAGAACCCCTTAAGTACAATTCCATTTATTTTTATCTCCCAGCTACCTTGACAGGTACCAGATGACCACTGTTTCTCAAAGGAATCAAAGACTTTAGCCTCTCATTCTTTATCTCCATTGTATGAAATCTGGATATGCTGTCTCTCTGTAGGGAATGTAGCAGACCACGGACTGTTATTCTCTATCTGATTTGTACTAGTTCAGAAGCTTTAAAGACTATGACTTCCCTTTCTCTTAAGCACCTCACATTTGTTTTGTTTTTAATGAAAAGCAACTTCTGTTTGCTAGTGGTTTGATCAGTGGCTTTCATTAATTATACAATAACCTAGGGCATAAAGTCATACTTGTTCTGAAGTCCCAAAATTATTCATGTCTACCATCTTCGTTTCGTCATGATGACTCCCACTTTGGCTCTGAGGGTTGTTTACATAGTAAAAATTGAGTGTGTCCCTATATTTCTTTAGTAGCTTTTATTAATTGTATTGTTTTATTTCAAAAGGCTGAAACATACTCTAGTTCAATGTTGAGTCAGTCTTTTATAGAATGAATGACCTCAAAGTGGCAAGGGTAGCTTACCTTCCACATAAACTCATTTCAGTTTTCAAATTTCTCTCTAACTTCGTTGCATCATTTTGTTTTACCCTCATTTCTTACTCTCCTTGTCATACAGACACTGGGGCAAGGCTCTGCCTCCAAAAAATGCTCAGAATGCTTTAGACCCATGGAATTGGATTTTCAACACTAATTTTATTTATCCTCTTGGAAATAAAAGCAAGTTTTATATAAAGGGGCTTTGTATATAAAGGAACTTCAAGGGCACCTATGTAAATATCTCTGTCATTAGGGGAGAAAAATTGATCTCAGAGGTACGTTGGTAATCAACTCTGCCTCCTACCCAATTTCATTTTTTTCTAGTGTTCCCTCCATGTTGATGTTGAAAGAACCGCTCTTGGTCTTCATGATTAGAAATGATCTGCACTTGTGGCCTGAGCCCTTGGTCAAAGCCAGCAAGTTTGGTGCCCTTGACCCATGTCCTAAGCAGGATCTCTGATTTTGTCTCTCTCCATTCAGTCAGTCACTAAATCTATCACTGTCTTCTCTTTTCATGTCATTGATAACTTCTTTCTTTCTGTGTCACCACTATTTTACACAACATGAGACTGAGAGAAAATAAGATGTTTTTTTCTATAAGACAAACCTAGGTTTCAAGGTTTGACTTGGCTACTTTCTAGCTTTGATTTTGGTGATACTGCTTAATTTCTCTAATGGATTGGCTATAAAATAGGGGATATTCTACTTGCTCTCCATAAGGCATTGCAGAAATTACATGACAAATACATAACCTAAACAAAGAATCATTTCTTTATGACTTTCAGTTTTTTCCCCTATAAAATTATACATGTTAAATATATTCCAATAAGTTTTTTCTTGTGATTTTACCATGTACATTTTATTAAGAATAGAACTGCTATTATCATTTATTGAGGAAAAAAAGATAAACCTTGATCATAATTGTGTACCTACTTGTACCAAACAATCAGGTAAACATTTTAAAAGCATCTCATTTAATCCCATGGAATAGTTACTTATCTTTTTTTATAGAGTGTCCCAGATCTTCCAGAACATGAGCCCTTGAATAGTTAAATAATACCCAATGTGCATTAGCCATAAGGTAGCCAAATCTGTAAAACACTTTTTTTGTAATGACCCACTATAGTAAAACTAAGGCTCCTCCATATCCAAGTGGCCTTGAAACAGGGAGAACCTACTGTCATGGACTTACCATTGCTTCTCTAAGCTAACTTTCACTATTACCACCCAAAGATGACAAATGAAGAATAGTTCTCTTCAAAACATCAGAACTTGGTATTCATGATCTGTCCTCCCTTTTATATCTCTGGTGGCCATTCTTAATTTTTTCATTACTCTATAATCCAGAGAGAGAGTCTATTGAAGACACTCAGGATATGAATATAAAGCAAAATATAGCTTTCAAAACCATTATTACTTCTGATACTGACCATGATACTATGTGTATGAAGATATATGTCATTCAGTTACTTATAACTTAATACAGTGTGGGTAATCACAAAAATTATAAACATACAACACTCACATACACACACAATAGTAATCTCCACTGTTGATACTTTCTTGTCTGTCCAATTTGTTATATGATGAAGTCTGTCCAGAAAAATTCCAGCCATTGTTAATATAACAAGAACAGTTTGCATAACATCAATACAACCTGGCAGCCAAGAATAGTGGACTGGAATGTGCATGTATGAATAATGATGATTTTACTGTACTAATCAGTGGGGGCCATAGATGCTGTTGAGTGAGCAGCAATACTGTGTGGCTGTCGCATTCAAGAAAACTGATCAAGTAGAGCAAAAAATCTGCATCCAATTTTGCATTAAGCTTGAACATTCCTCCACAGAAACTATTCAGATGATTCAGAAGGCCACAGCTATGGGCAACTGGTGATTGGCAGCTTCATCACGACAACATGCCTGCTCATGCATCACATTTCATGCAGGGTTCTTTAATAAACCATCAACTCACACAGGTGACTCAGCCATGCTACAGCCCAAATTTGATGCCTTGTGACTTCTGGCTTTTCCAAAAACTAAAATCACCTTTGAAAGGGAAGAGATTTCAAACCATCAGTGAGATTCAGGAAAATACGATGGGGTAGCTGATGGCAGTTGGGAGAACTGTGTGAGGTCCCAGGGTGCCTACTTTGAAGGTGACTGAAACATCATTGTTCCATGTACAATGTTTCTTGTATCTTGTATCCTCTTCAATAAATGTCTCTATTTTTTATAGTATATAGCTGGGTACCTTCTGGACAGACCTCGTATACCTGACCAAAGGCACCAACCACAAACACATCCACAGTCATTACCACTCCTACTCAGCACATTCAGGATAAACTCTTCTTTCCCTTTTCATAACTGAGGCTCTGAGTTGTGCTTCACTTTCCCAGTCATTTACATAGATTCACTCACTAAATGCATGTTGAGCACTTCCCATGTGTCAAGCAATGATCTAGGTATTGAAGACACAATGGAGGAAAAGGCAGGCCAGGTCTCTGCTTCTACAGTCCAGATGGACATTGTTCCTTTTGCATGAAAACAATAGATCAATTGCACATGTTCATTAAAGTGTTTGTTCACTCTAACAGTGACTGACGATAGCTCTCTCAGAAGCTGTTAATATATTCTTATTAAATTCAGAAGTCATATTGTCTTTTTTGAACCAATTACATGCCCTGACTTTAGTTATCAATTATTTCTTCACCTCCTAGCATAGACCATGGTTTTACCACAGTTTAAATTTACCACAGTTACAGTATAAATTTGACATTTCCTCCATCAGTATCCTAATTTTAACTACTTTGTTTTTCATTACTTGCTTGAAGCCCATACAGGCACCTTGATTTAAGTGCACAAACTCAAATACCTAAATTAAGTTAAACATTTAGATCACCTCAGTGACATTCCATGTATCCCTACTCAGTGGACTCAATACTCTTCTGAACTCTGATATGAATTATGTCTCTCTTTCCCATTCTTTAGTCCAATGGTTCATAGCAAAATCTGCACAAAGGCTGCTCCTATTTTCTTCAAATCAACTATGATACACCAATTTATATTTACCCTATTACTTATATTAATATCTCTATCTTGATTATATTCATGTCCATAAAAATCTGTTTACATTTTATATAGATACTGTGGTTCAGTCAGTATTTTCATGTACAATAATACCTAATTAGACAAGTGCTTTGCACTCAATATTGTCCAATGAATGTATGCTTAATGAATATACAAATAGAAATCATGAAATTCCATCTATGAATATTAACTAGTTATTTGTATTACAGGAGAGCATATGTCCTCATATTAATCATTCATTACTCATTTCATCAATGAGACAAATATATACATTACCTTGTAAGAATAAATATCTATAGGTAATTGTAGATATAGCAGGAAGGAAAGAAAAAGTTTAAAAGTTCCTTCATATTTACTTTTAATTGCTCTTTGTAAACATTAAAACAATCACTTAAAATACCGAGAATATAATCAAATCACGTGTCACACTGTGCTACTGCCTAAGTCTTTGTACATTTATTTGTTAATCTAGTCAATCAGTCTTGCATTTCACAAGATTCTATTGTGTTCCTTGGCAGTGCCTTTGGGATGTACAAAGCAGACTCGAAATTATAAAGAAATATCTCATGGAAAAGTGTATCATGTGAACTAAAATATGCTTCTGCATTTGAATATTTGCCATGACTTCCTACTTCAACGATTGGAAAGTAGGCATAGATTAAGAAATTCTTGCCATTAACAAAAATTAAAGTTCGATTAATCATGCAAAAATCACACATATAGACTTTGGCCAGAAAACCTCTTATAATCTTCCCTTAATCTCTTCTGGCCCTAGGAGGAGACAAGTCACACTGACGTTCAGAGTGTGGTTTCATAGCATGTATAATTTCACACAGAAGGAGCAGCCTTCTCTCATGTGCATCTCTTCAAGCCCATAAGCCAAGAACACAGAGTCAAGTACACAGACTATTTTTGTGACTCTGGGATTTACATTTCTATTCAGTGTAATGCTTCAACAAGCTGGAAAAAGAGCAGCACAAGGGAAATGTTATCTTTTTCACTAGAAAAATATTTGCTTTAATTTTTAAGTTCTTTTCTTTGTATTCTAGGAACAAATTTTGTCTCCCCATTCCCTATCCCCTCTCACCTCTTTCTTATAAGGAGCTACTTAGTCTTTCCCTCTTACTCACAGGCACTATCATCCAAACTGTCCATAAAAGAATGAAAGTATATTCTTAGTGACATGACACTATCCCCTCAACCTCATAACATTCACCTACGACAATGTATTTTCAACTGGCGAATTAGCAGCTGGTGTTGCTAACACAAATGCAGAGAAAGGGAAGCTGTCCTTCTTCTTAAATGATGGGAAGTCTCACACATCATTCCTAAACCAGGGTCTTTTCTGAGTCAGCTCTCGGTCCCTCGCACTCTATCACTCACGGGCTCTTCAGCACAGTGTATTCATCAAGGCAGGCAGCACAATTGTTAGCTGGCAGTTTAAATGGGGCCAACTTGTCACAAGAGTGACAGTCTGGGCAATTGTTTGCCCTCTGGGAATAGGTGCGGGCAGGTTCAAATGAAATACATCCAAATACTAAGAGCAAGATTCTTAATCATGTCAATAAAAGGGATGTACTGGTGTCTGGGTTTCAGTGGGCACAATACGCCTCTTATGCTTTTAAAGATGAAATTAGGTCTAGGTTTTCAACAGAGTGTTCCAAGGAATCTATAATTCCGTTATTGTTTTTAATACATGCTACTTGTTTGCTAGATTAAATATATAATCCTGATATTTTACACACTAAAATGCATGTTTCATAAAGTCAGGTTATCAACATAAATGGATGGAAAAATAAATGAGTCTGGGGTGGAGAAAAGGAAAAGTAAAAACAATGATATTTTATTTCAGAATAATGTCAAAGTTTTAAGGCAAATACCAAAGGTGCAAAGGAGTGCTAAAAAGATGTCTTAATAACATCATTATTGAAACAACAAAATAAAATCGTTAACCAATTTAATTATTGGCTCTTAAATTTGTCAACACTTATGGACTAGATTTTACATGTCCTAATAGCTTTCATTACATATCTATTTAAAATACTCTATATTCTATACCTATATAATGCAGCAAAAATTATTTCAATAAAATTACAATAATAATCATATAACATAAATGTAACTAGATGTTATAGTACTAAAAAAAGTACCTCAGTATTCTTGATATTAAAAAAATCAAGTAATTGCTTAATATTTACAAAATTTCCTTCAGTAACCACTTCTGTTTTGCATATAAATGATTGGAGGATAAACAAAGATAACACACAAGCCTAGTTTTCATAGAGTAATCAACTTGTGTTATTAACTTGTATAATCAACTTGAGGAGCAAAATTTAGCACACATGAAACAATAAATGAAAAATGAACCACTGAATGATGGAGTTTCATAAGAGAAAGGCCTCAGTGAAGGCTACCAAAGTAGAAGAGGAAGAAGAAGAGTGGAGCAGGATGGGCTAGAGCTGAACAAAGGCCTGGGAGTAGACTTGGAAGTCCATCCAGGGAGGAGAAAGATAAACTTAGGTAAAGTTAGAGAACGGTTCATTTATATCTCCTATGTTAAAAAACAAGCACAAAATAAATACAGAAGCTAAAGAACAGGATAACAAAGAGCTCAAGATAAATGCTTCTAAAATGTTTATTCTTAAGGAAGCATAATCCTTTTATTGGGGGGATTTGCTTTAATTTTAGATAAGCAGAGATTTTCTGATTTGGAAAAAACGTTACATTGTTTTTTCAAAATTCAGGCTCTGAAGCTGGGTAATGTTTGTGTCTTAGCTCTACCATTCATTGGCTGTGTGAGTGTTTTAATGTCACCACTTTCAAGTTTATTTATTTGTAAAACAGAGATAAAAAAAAAAGAGTGCCTGCTCTTCTAGGTTGTTTGAGGTAAATCAGATAATTCATGTAAAATATTTAGCACAGTGTTTAGCTTTATTAAGTTTTATTAGGATAAAATACAATCTTAATAAACAATACCTATAGAATGGTTTTCCAAATGCAAGGTTCTAATCATTTATATGCAAACAGTATTCAGTGTTAAAGCTTACATATTATTGTTTGTTACTCAATAATTATTTAAATGTTTAAAGTTTTTCCTCCAAGGAATATCCAAGTACTACCTATGTGCTCTGTTTGAATGAAAAAAAAAATCATTTTATCTCGGAAAAAAATCCATTTGATCTCAAGAAAGCAGGTGATTATGTAGCACAAAAATAATCCTAGATGACCATATAGTAAATGAATGTACTGAATCTTTATGAAACCAACATTACTGAAGAAATTAAAAATTGAGTCCTTTGTATTTTGAGCCAGTTATGTTTATATGAAAACACACTCCTCACTCTTTTCCAAGTTCAAGTCACTTGTATATTATCTTTAAAACTTGAGTCAGATGATCTCATTTTTCCATAGAATTTCTGAATTTCTATAAACTTAAATCCAATATTCACATTCAAATTGAGAAAAGAACTTATATAATAGGTACACCTAGAAACACAAAATGTAATTATTAACAGAATTTCTAGAAAAAGCCTATTTTAAGACTTCACAAAAAGTATTTCAATGCTTGACTATTAATCTTGACTGGTTCTTTCAACTCTAATAAAAATTAGAGAAAATGTTGTTTTCAAGTTTACTGATGGATAGCATTCTAAATGTTCACATTGTGCTTCACTCTTTGTCAGAAAGTTTAGGATTGAATGTTCAGTTCAAGCATAGTCATGATGTTATCTATGAATCTTAGTAAAATTATCTTCTTTTTAACTCTAAATCCTGTTTTTTATTTTATTGCCTGTATATGTGTGCAGGAAATTTTAGCATGGGTTTTGCTTAAATTCTTTCCTAAAGAGAGCGGAACTATAAATATTTGTTTGGGTAATTACTTGATTACTTAATTTACTCTTAAATTATCCTAATATAGTCCTTAAATTCAAATTTTTGAGATCTTATATAGAAAAAAATTTAAGAGGGGAAAAGAATGGGGAAATGAAGAGTAAATCAAAACGTCATAATATGACCTCACTATCTAGTTTAAAGTAAATGGATTCCTTCTTTGATTAGACATTATTTCAGTGAATTAAAGTCTTTTAAAAGGTCTTAAAAATTTGAGATATATCTCAAATGATGAGGGTTTCTTTCTCTATCTGAAAAGACCTGTGTTTTTCCCTGTGACCATTCAGATTTGTTTTAGGCTTGAAGATTGCGCGGAGGCCACCTTTGCCAAGAGCGGTAACACTTTCGTGAAACTAATATGCCAGAATCTTGTGTTCAAGGTAAGCTGAGAAAAAGCATGAACTTAAGACAGGAATCTTCAACTTATCCTTTAGTTGAATACAAGGTACTTTTCATTTTTCCAAAGCCACAGAACGGTGTGTGTGTGCAAGTGAGTGTGTGGGTTCATACATACGTGTTGTGTAAGGAAGGACACTTTAGGATTAAAAAATAATAGTAAGTTTCTAAGTAAACAGAAGATGTGTCACTACAAGTTTTACCTGACATCCTGCTGAAAAATATTAGCAAACTAAGGAAAGAGGAAGGATTAAAGAGTGACTCTATAACTTGGTATCTACAGAAGACTGATTGATCAGCATCCTCTGGTTATAAAACCATGCTCTAAATATTCCCTTAAAAGATTATCTCATTAAATATAAGGAAAAGAAAAGTAGTATACACACTTGTTAACAGCCTATGTCATATGATAAGCTAGACAACTTGCCTTGTTTATCCTCTTCCAATTCACTATCAGAGCATTCATCACCCTCATCTTTTACATTGTCCTCAGCATCTGGTGTCTTCCACGACGCAGTTTCACTCTTCTTTTCAGGGTCTAAATTATCTTTTTCATCATCTGGGGGTGACTTTGACATTCTATTCACTTGATCATCAGCCTGTTCTTCTTTATTAGCTTTCTCATCTTGTTTCTCCTCCTCTACTTCAAAATCTTCTTCATACTCTGAGAAAAGAAAAATCTCTATAACAATGAAAACAGAATCCCTATACTTAACCCATTTCACTTTAATGAGAACTTTGACTCCATTATCCTGTTTTTTCCTAGGTCTTTCTTCACTTCTTTTTTACATAATTAGTGAAAGTGGAAAACTACCAGCGAATGATCAAAGATTGAAATCAGTTATATGTACAAGAGCACAAAAGAGCACAAAAGCAATGAAGCTCCAAATGACATGCTTAATGGAGTTCATTTACAAAAGGACATCATCATCTAACAACAACCAAAACGGACAAGAGAAGATCTTGATAGAAAACAATAAGTTAGAAATAAATTAAAAATGAAGAGAACAGGATCATAATAATGAAAGTTAATTTGGAGATCCGGTGAGGTCATATTTCATATGAAAAATGTTCAAAATATTTGGATATCAAATTAATGAATAGTGAAGTGGAAAAATTTAATTAATCAAGGCCAAAGGCCCTGAGAAGTAACACTGTATAAAGCACATTCATTGTGAACTAAATGGACATCAAGAAAAAGCATTATGAAGAGTCTATACCGAGGCCAGGACTGCAATCATATGCATTATTCATTCTTACAATCAATGAAATACTTATATTTCAGGGTAAAATTAGTACAGCGAGTAATTTGCTTCATTCCCTATAGAGGTGCAACAAATCTGTAGCAGAAAAAGAAAATTGTCACATGATATCAACTCCAGCTGTCCCTTGTGGTTATAAATTTTCACCTTTCATATTTAATTGTTACCCTTTTCCTTTCACCAAAAACTAACAGTCTCGAAGTGACAGCACGCCAAGGATTGAGAGCAAAAGTATTTCATGCAGAACCAATTAAGCAAATAAACAATTATCTTTAAAATGAAAATTACAGGGAAAGTACAGGTTTCCTTATTTTTGTATGTTTTAATTATTAAATATTGTGGTTTCTTTTCCAGTGGTGGGGGCCTTTTGGGTAAATATTCAAGATCTATCACAAGATTGTTTTCATGAAAGAGATTTAATATGAAGAACAATAAATGCAAAATGGTATCTCTAAAACAGAACTATAAAGTAAGCAAGAAAATGAAGAATTTAGTTTATATTGCATGAAAGAAACAGGAAATATAATATAAACAAATATTTTTATTTAAATTTTCAGGTCAACTAATATGATAATGCTCCACTTGGCCCAGTTAGTTATTAATCAATAAGCTTTTAAATGGAAGAAGACAAAATTGGAAGGCAAAAGGTGTTCCAGTAACACGATTCTTGCTATCAAAGAATCTTCACCTTTTGTTGAGAAAATAAGATGTATTTACAGAGAGATACAGTACTCATAGAATTTGCGTACATGGTCCCCAGTAATGTTTGTTTCAACATTACTGGGCTCGATTGCAATGGATTTTTATATAGGACTCCATTAACTATGTGAAATACTGTCAAATGAGGGCAGTGGAGGAGAACAGAAAGTCATTTGGATACTGTAGAAAACTTCATGAAAGTGGGAGTTTAGGCTACTCATAAAATACACACACAGGGAGAAATATACACAAATATCACATTACAGATATTTGCTCCTGGTTGCAGGATAAGGAGGGGGCTAGACAGAAAATGAGTAAATTGTTATAATTCCATCTATAATAATATTAGATAGCATTAATGCCATCAGTGGGGAAACATGAGGATTTTGGGGTCAGGCAATCATGAGTCCAAGTCCTACTTTAAACATTCACTAGGTACATGACTTAGGTAATCTGCCTCACAAAGCTGTGGTATTAAAAGCAATAAACCCTGGAACATGCTCAGTACAGTGCCATAACCAGTAAGTGCCTAATCAGTATTACGCATTAGTGGTAATAGTGAATATGATTGTGGGGTGGAGAGAGCTGGTCATAGGAAAAGAGAAATTATACACAGTAAGTATGTGCTATATATATGCTATATATACTTTAATGGGAGCACCTGATTAAAATCAGAGATGCACAGTGTCCACAATTAGAACACAGTAACAGTTGTGTTATTGAAGCAGAGCATAAAATTGAAGGACCACATAGTAAACCACAAGAATAATTCCTGCATCCTATTTTGCAGGAGCTTCTGTATTTTTCCCCAAAGTATGAAATATAATGCTACCCTGGTTTTATTTTACACACCATGATCATCACATCTAAATATTAGTCTTCTATTAACCACAGAGCACTCTATGAGCCTTATAGCTCAAGGCATGCCTCCTTTGCATGTGTCATCTACTGGTGTGTTTTCAATATGAATGAATTCGTGGCATGCTTTCTGGATTCCTTTTCATGATTTCCTTTTCTCTCCCATCTCACCTTCCTTCTCTCTGAGAATGTAATTAGTTTGCTGTTGACCATTCTCACTAATGAGGAGGCGAGTCAACACGAGGTCAACATCAATCCAGCTGCAACCTACCCACACTGACCTCCACTCCGGCTTCTTGCTGCCCCTCCCATCAGCAACTGTTCTGCACTGAGCTGAAGCCTACCCACTGCTGCCTCTTCTTTTCTTTTCTTTTCTTTTCTTTTCTTTTTAATGTAAATGAGCAATTAAAATCCATTAACTAGCCAACGCAGAAGAAAGATCTGGGAAAAGCTGTATTACAGGGCTAAAGTATGCTACTTATAACACTGGCCATGTTGGCTTAAGAGAAAACAAATGAAGAAAGTGAAAAGCCTTTACTGGACCTGGTTTTAATAAACTTACATGTCTTGAAAGTGAAAACAAATGAGAAAGCATTCCATTTGTTAATCTCCCTGTTATTGCTGTTGCTATAGATATTTCTAAATTCTCAGTATAAGGTGGTAAAAAATGACTAGAAAGGATCACAGAGAGAGAGAGAGAGGTAACTGGGTCAAAGAGTTATAAGCGAAATCGTTTTGAAGTCACATTTTTTCCCACAATAAACAGACATAGAATCCAATGCTCCACCAGCTCTGTGATTACTCCCTTGGACTACTGAAGCCCTTGTGCAGCAACAGGTTGAGGTGAGGAAGAAAATAAGAAAGATGTTCCTTTTCCTGATGACAGCTCTTTCACAGGTCACCCCAGCCCATGGCTATCACTCCTTTAATCTGGGCTTTGTCTTCCAGGTGTACGAGGGGCACAGGCAGCTCCATTTCTGATTCTTTCAATGTAACACCCACAACCAGGTAACCTCAAGAATAGCTTATGCAGACTAGGAGGTTGGACAATGTTTGCAAGTCTGGGGTTTGAATTAGACAAGCCTGGGTATTCAAGATTAGCCAAGTATGCAACCCCAAAATACACAACTTCAGCAGAGGTATTATCTTGAGCTGAAGGTTACTGAGAAGTAGTAGATACAGGAAAAGCTCTCTGCCATCCCCCTATTTGCTTAAAAGCAGAACATAAATTTGTGAAGGTATCTCTCTTGCTTCTCTTGCAGGAAGTACTAAAGTTAACCATAGGAGACAACTCCAGGCATTTATTATTCCATATATACACCAGAGGAATCAACATAACAAACCTCAATAATACTGGAACTTAGTTTCCAGTATAAGATCTGTCTGGAAAAAGTCCAGCCATTGTTAACAATGAAAATAGTTTACCTGACATGGATGTAAGGTGGCAGTCAAGGAGAGGAGACTGGAATGCACATGTGTGAACAATGGCAACTTCACTATACAAGTCTGTGGGGGCAGTAGATGTTGTTGAGTGAGGATGTGTACTGTGTGGCCATTGCATTAAAAACTACTAGCAAGTAGCGCAATGAATCTGCCTCAAATTTTGGATTAAGATTAAACATTCCTCTGCAGAAACTACTCCAATGATTGAGAAGGCGAAGGCTGCAGCTATGAACAACTGGAGATTGGCAGCTGCATCACAACAACATGGCCACTCATGGATCATGTCTCGTGCAGACTTTTTTGGTGAAACATCAAATCACCCAGGTGACTCAGCCCCACAACAGCCCAGATTTGGCACCCTTCAACTTCTGGCTTTTTCCAAAACTAAAATCACCTTTGAAAAGGAAGAGATTTCAGACCCTCAATGAGATTCAGGAAAAGATGACAGGGCAATTGTTGGTGACTAGAAGAGCTGTGTGAAGTCCCAAGGTGCCTGCTTTGAAGGGGGCTGAGGCATCATTGTCCTATGTACAATGGTTCTTGTATCTTATATCTTCTTCGATAAATGTCTCTATTTTTTATATTGCATGGCTAGATATCTTCTGGACAGACCTCAGATTTGCTTCCCACAATTTGCTTCCCCTAGAAGCTCAAAGTCCCTTCGCTTTGTTTTGTCACTTCACTAAAAATATATTGTTCTTTTGTTAACCTGCCATATAAACCTGAGTTCTAGCCACTTCTTTGAATTACTCAGTTCTGAGTGCTCCCACATGTATGTATGATGTGCATGCTAATAAACTTCTGCTTGTTTTTCCCTTGTTAACCTCTTTTGTCAACTTTATTTATAAGGACCCAGACAATGAACCAAAGAAGGGTAGAGGGAAAACAGTTTTTCCTCTCCTATAGTTTGAATTCTAGTTCTGCTACTTTCTCTCTGTGTCTGAGCCACAGTTTCCCAACTTGTAAAATGGAGGTGGTAATAATATCTAACACATGAAATGGTAAGAATAAAATGACATAGTGTGTGGAGAGTACCTGGCTCAGTACTCACTTATTGGCCCTTCTATTATTGTTGTTATTACTACTATATTTATGAATATGAGTGTGGAGAGAAAAAGGGAGAGGGTAAGAAGAAAGAAGAAGGAGGAGGAGGAGGGAGAAGAGAAGGAGGAGAAGAAGGAGGAGGAGGAGTAATGGGTAGAAAGGAGGGAATAGGAAAAGGAGAGGAGGAGAGGGGAGGAGAATAAGAAAACAAAAAGGTTGACAGGTGGACTCTAGGACTCTAACTGTATGTCAACTGCTTCTAGTTATGGAATATTCTACCACAATATAATCATATAGATTTGCCTACCTAATGCCAAAACATCAATATCACCAAAGCAAGTACATATAAATACAAAAAAAACCCCAGGCAAAATTTTATTTGGTCAGAATGGTATCTCTCTGCAGAAGTGATCAAAGCCTCTGCTCACACACACAGACATAAACTCCCCTTCCCTTCCTCTCCTTCACAGGCACCTTCAGCCCCACTAGAGGTTGGCAACACAGGCCTCTAAGGCAGGTTACACAGGGTTTCATGCACAACAGTGAAGGAAGGTGGTCAGGGCTGTATGTAACAGAATTACCTAAACACCATAACTGAAGAGAGACATACAATGCATAGTTTTGCAAATTTTGATAATTACATTTTAAAGACTTAAGCAAAAGAACAATAACAGTAACAACAAAAGAACACTGTGTCATTAGTTACCTTACCATATTTGTATATGTTCTCCTGGTCATCTTCCCAAACATGTTTTCCTTTATGTTCCATTTCCTCAATGGCAGTTCGCACTTCTTCAACCCCTGTTTTTTCTTCTTCAGCTGAAAAAAAGACTGAAGCAGAGCTTTTGCTCCCCTCCATCTCCTTTCTTCTTGTCATCAGGTATGCTCTGTTCTTCCTCAGTTTCCCCTCGCCCTTCTTCAGTTCCTCTCTTTTCTCAACACTTACTTGTTTCTTAGGTTTTGGTGAAATTGGTTTTTTGTCAAGGCCCATTGCAATAATGCACCTATGAAAAATATTAAGACACAGTGTTATTAACATTTATATATAAAACAGTGGAACTGCAAAGTTTTTCCAATCACTTATCTCTTTTTATTCTTGTAAGAAATGTTATTAGAAATATTTTATTAAAGTATATATCATTAAGTAAAAGTAAACTTTTTACTAATACTAATGAGCATAACAAATTCTTAATAATTTTACATACATTAATAAACAAGAAAACAACAATAAGAACTTCAGTCCCAAATTAAAATTAATGTCTTAAAGTATATTTTTGGCCTTATAACAGAGTTCAATATATATATATCATTCAAGCCCTTACATGAGAATTATGTGATAAAAGAACATTCAGGTTTACGAACACAAGGAAATTAAGATAAAAATAATAGGAAGAAAGATGCCATTCAGTCTTTGATAATTTATTATTCCAACAACACAACAACAAAAGAGTTATATACAAGGCTGACTTTAAATAAATATGATTGATTTTTTAAGAAAAATATACAATCACATATTGTTGTGCCCTTTAAATAAACACCTCAGGAAACTTCATGCTTATTTTAAAAGAATTGTCATTATTGCTTTTAGAATGGCCTTTGAAGCCATAAAAAGAGGCAGAGAAGGTCACTTCATAATACTGAAGGAAAGAATTCATCAAGAAAACATAAACATATATGCACCCAACATAGGACCACCCAAATATATAAGGAAAACCTTGGAGGACTTCAAGAAAGATATAGACAGCAACACACTTATAGTAGGGGATTTTAACACTCCACTGTCAACAATGGACAGGTCTTCCAAAGAATCAACAAGGATATTGTGGCATTGAATGACACCCTCGGTCAAATGGACTTAACTGATACATACAAAACCTTTCATCCCAAAGAAACAAAATATACATGCTTTTCAAATGCACATGGGGACATTCTCAAAGATAGACCACATGATAAGACACAAAACAAGCCTCAACAAACTCAAGAAAATTGAAATCAAGCATCTTCTCAGATCTCAATGGCTTAAAACTATAAACCAACCTAAGAGAAAAAGCTTTAAGAAAGTCAAAATCATGGAGTCTGAAAAACATGTTATTAAACAATGAATGGGTTAACAACAAGATCAAATAAGAAATCAAAAAGCTTCTGGAAGCAAATGAAAATGAACACACAACAGCCCAAAACCTATGGGACACAGCAGAGACAGTCCTGAGAGGGAGGTTCATAGCAATACAGGCCTTCCTAAAAAAGATAGAAAAAATTCAAATAAACAACCTAACCCTAAAACTACAAGAACTAGAGGAACAACAACAAACAAAGACAAGAATGAGTAGAAGGAAGGAAATAATCAAGATCAGAGCAGAATTAAATGATATAGAGACTAAAAGAACAATTCAAAGGTCAATAAATCCAGGAGCTGGTTCTTTGAAAAGATACACAAAATTAACAAGCCTTTAACGAACTACGGCAATATTCAGAAGTCAAAGGAAGCATATATTGTGTTCATGGATTGGAAGAATGAACACCATTTAAATGTTCATACTACCCAAGTAATGTATAGAATCAATGCAATCCCTTTTAAAATACCAATAGCATATTTCACAGATATAGAACAAATATTTTAAAAATTTTTATGGAACCATAAATGACCCTGAATAGCCTCAGCAATTTTGAGAAAGAACAAAGTAGGAGGGATCACAATACCTGATAACAAACTATGCTACAAGGCCACTATAATCAAAACAGACTGGTACTGGCATAAGAATAGACACATAGATCAATGGAACAGAATAGAGAGCCCAGAAATAAACCCATGCCTCTATGGGCAACTAATATTTGACAATGGGGGCAATAGTATAAAACAGTAAAAATATCATCTTCAAGAAATAGTGTTGGGAGATCTGGACAGATACATGTTAAAAAAAAATGAAACCAGACCACCAACTTACACCATACACCAAAAGAAACTCAAGATGGACGAAGGACTTAAATATAAATCATGACACCATTAAAGACCTAGAGGAGAGCGTAGGCAGGAAAATCTCAGATATCCTATGCAGCAATATTTTCATCAATATTTCCCCTAGACCAATGGATATAAAGAATAAACAAATGGGACTACATCCAATTATAAAGCTTCTGTCCAGCTAAATATTAGCAAAATAAAAAGGGAACCAACCATATGGGAAAACATATTTGCTAATGACACCTCAGACAAGGGTTTGACCTTTAAAATATATGAAGAACTCATACAACTCAATACCAGGAAGACAAACAATCCAATTAAAAAATGGGCAAAGGACCTGAACAGACACTTCTCCAAGGAGGCCATACACAGAGCCCACAGACATATGAAAGAAGGTTCAACATCACTATTCGTCAGAGAGATGCAAATTAAAACCACAGTGAGATACCACCTGACATCAGTCAGAACGGCCATCATAAACAAATCAACAAACAACAAGTGCTGGTGAGGATGTGGAGAAAAGGGAACCCTAATACACTGTTGGTGAAAACACAGACTGCTGCAGCCACTGTGGAAAACAGTTTGGAATTTCCTTAAAAACCAAAAAACTGGAACTGCCTTTTGACCCAGCAATTCCACTGCTGGGATTATACCCTAAGAATCCTGAAATACCAATTCAAAAGAACAAACAAATAAACAATTCAAAAGAACCTGTGGACCTCAATGTTCATAGCAGTGTTATTTACAATAGACAAGTGCTGGAAACAGCCTAAGTGCCAATCAATAAATAAGTGGATCAAAAAACTGTAGTACATTTACACAATGGAGCACTACATAGCAGAAAGAAAGAACGTGCTCTTGCCCTTCACAACAGCATGGATAGAACTGGAGAGTATTATGTTAAGAGAAATAAGCTAGGCAGTGAAGGACAAATACCATATGATCTCACCTATAAGTGAAAGCTAATCAACAAAACAAACAATGAGAAAAAGAGAAACAGAGACAAGGAAATGAAGATCAAACTGACAGTAACCAGAGGGGACAGAGGAGGGGGATACCAGGGGAAAGAAAAGGAAGGGTCAAGTCAAGGAACATGTACAACAGAACCATGGACAAGGACAATGGGGTGCAGATTGTCTTTGGGAGTGAGGGTTGGACAGGGCACAGGAGAGTAATGGGGGGAAAACGGGGATATCGGCAACCGAACAACAATTAAAAAAAAAAACAGGTACAAAAATGTATAAAACATGTGATTCCATTTGTATCAAAATATCAAATAAACAATATCAAGTATTTTAATAACAATAAAAAAAATGCCTTTGAAACCTGTACCACAATCTGGTGATTTTTATTGGCAATAAGCTTTGTTCTTTTTTTTTTAAATTTAAATTTAATTTATTTTTTCAAATACATTTGTCTCTGCCTCCCCCCCACCACTTTCCGTTGCCCCCTTCCCCATTCCCGCCCTCAGCTCTTCCCCTTTGGTTTTGTCCATGAGTCCTTGCTGTATGTTCCTTGCCTTTCCCCTTCCCTTCCAAGATGGCAATAATCTGTAGAGGTCACAGAGTCATTCAAAGTCAAATCTGCTGAACCAAGCAGATAATCTGCAATTATTAAGATATTTTCAAAATATTTAAATCAGTTGCAAGTCATGTAAATAATTTCTTCTATAGCTTTTATCTTATCTCTCAAGTTAATACCAAAATAAGAATTCCAATAATGACAATATTTACATTAAGAGAATGATAATTATAATAAGATTAGAGAACACTCCTTCTGTGCCAAGTTCCTTGCCTTGTACCATATATACATTATTTTACCAGATTTGTTACACCACAGGCCAATAAATTAAGAACTATCATCACTGATTTTCAGCAAGGAATCTGAGCCTTAAGAGTGTTCCATGATGTGCTCAAGCTCAGCCTACAGATCAGTGATGTAGCTGGATTCCAGTTTAAGACTGTTTAACCTCATGACTTCACACTGAAATACAAAAAAGTGTTAGGTTACAGGTATAGTCCTCTCAGATGACTAGCAACACAGGCAAATTAACAGAATCCGGAGAAGTTTTCACCAAGATCTGGAGACAATTTTTGACCTCGAAAAGAGGCCCTGGATACATATCAGTCTCCAGACTCCTTCTTCTCTAGAAATACATATCTCTTTCTCTACAGGTCACAGGACTATCAGGGAACTGAATCAAATAGAGTGAGGAGGTAAAAAGAGATTAGAATGCAGTTGAGACTTGTCAGTCCAGGAAGAATAGAAATAATGTGTAGAATTTGAAAATTGCCTCGATGTGAATCAGATCCAATGGCAATTCCTTAAACTCAAGATTCACTGAATTTCAGCCATCTCCAGTCTAGAAATAGCATAGGAATTAATTCTGCCAAGAAGCAAATATGAGAACTTAGTTATGTCGCTTATCTTTTGAATATCTTCCCGTAAAATAAAACTAAAAAGATCTGTACTGAAAGTATCTATCAGGCTGTAAAAAAATGAGATAAGAATGCACTTACTTCACCCATTTTAAGCATGATAAATACTTGACTACCATGATGGTGTACTTAGCACATCACTTTCCTTAAAATAAAGGTGTCATGAATCTTCACAGAATATGATTACCTGCATTGCCTTCTGTTCAAGCTGTTCTTCCCTTATCCATGGCAACACCAAATCCATTGATTTGGAGCCTCTGATATGCTGTTACTTTAAGTTTATGCCGTGAATGTGTAGATGCTTTGATGCCTCCCCACTGCATGCACAGACTTTTTATTGCCCATCTGCTTAAGGGAATTGGACAAACAAAGTGAGTAACATCTGTGCTCTTCCCCTCACTGACTACCTAGTTGACTTCGGAGTATAATTTGAGGTGTTGATTACTTAAGCTTAAAGCTGCCTGCATTCTATTTGGTAAGGCAATTCTCCTTCCTGTGTCTCACTCTGGTAACTGAAAAGAACTACTATGTCTCTTCAAACAGTTCCCTTGATTGTTGGATAAATACAACGGATGAACCTCCACACTTTGGAAGTGACCACGGCTGAGCTTTTCTTGTTTTATGAGAACCTTAAGCAGATAATTCCTAATCATTTTTAGTACCGGAATTCCCTACTGTTTTATCTTATAATAAAAGTTCCAGGAACCACTACTTTTTAAATGAATTAAAATTAATTTCATTTTTAACAAGATGGAAGAATTAATGGACAGCGCTTAAAACAAGAAAAAGTATTATTAGGGATGTGATGATAAAAAACAAAGATTGTCCAATATTGTAAGTGACATCAGTCTCCTTAGGGGTAGTTCTCAGCTTTCTCTGGCGCTCCGCAGCATGGTGCCAGAGCCGTGCCGAGCATGCTGGCCACGCATGCAAGGTGCCAGCACTCACCCTCCCAACCCTGCCCCCTTCAAACCAGTCTGCCTAGATTTTCACCTGGTCTGCAGTGGGGAGACATCAAATGACACCACACTGTTTTACTTTGGATGTTCAGATTTTGTTTGCAGAAATGATAATGAAACTAACAAGAAACTGAATACGGGTAAAGGGAGTCAAGAGGTTAAAAAAATTTTTTTAGGGTTTAATAATAATAATAATTAAATGTAAAAAGAAAAGCAATGTCATATAACAACTGTGTCTTTTAGTTGAGGGTAATAGGATTTACTCTTTAACGTCACAACTATTTTCCCATTGTTATTTCAAAAGATCAAAGAAGCTGGAAGGGACTAAGTGAAATCATGTAAAGAAATACACAACTGTAATAGCATAATTAATAAAATACATATGTAAAAATATGAAATAAAGTACTGAAGCTAATAATGAAAAAATTTTTAAAAAAAAAGAAGTGCACAGAAGCCAGTAAGTGTTGAATTGGAGAGTAGAAGACATCTATCAGTTTTTGAAATTGATTATTAAACTTCCATGGAAGGTGTTTAGGACCAAACATCTACAGCTCAGATTTACATAGCACCTCCCAAGGAATGCAATGTGTTTGCACATGGATGATTGTATATAAGCTCATTAGCTTTCCTGAGAGTTAAAGAGACATTTTTAAAAGACTTGCCCACAAATATGGAGGAAGGATATTTGAACTGGAACAGAAAAGCAACTTCAGGTGGATCCTAAGTACACCCGGGCAATCCTATTATATTGCCTGAGGCCATTCACTCTCCCGCTTACTGGATGACTCTCACACCTCCAAATCCCTCATCCTCCCACCATAACCTCACGGGCAAATTCTTGTTTGACTAAGAATTAGAAACAATCAGTAGAGACCTTCCAGTTTGTCCAAACACATCCACCAGCTTACCTCCCTCTATCCTGCATGCCATCTCTCCACCTGTTACTACAATGTTTCTTCTCCTTTAAGGCTAACACCTCTACTTGAGCCTGGATCCCATTCTCCCCTAGTCCTAAATCCATGCCCTTTTTTTCTAAATTCAACACTTCGCTTCAGCAATTCCTCCTTCTATGATGTGTTTGATCAATTTTTTTTTCTCCAGAGTATCAGTTTTTTTTCTTCTGTAGAGTGTCAGTCTTATCTATCAGCATATAACCATATTATACTAACTTCCCTCTTAAAAAATAAAATGCCCCCTTTGACCCCAACATTCTCCCTCCTGGCTGCCACCCAACTTCCATCCTTTACAGCACAGTCCTTATAACAATAGTTTTCTATATTCTCTGGCCTTAGCTCTTTTCCAATGATGTCTTAATCCCACTCCAATGAAACTCACATGCCTACCACTCCACTATAACTTGCCCCAAGATCAACAATAACCACACATTCCCAAATCATGTTCAATTCTCATTCTTCATTTACTTAATTTATCTACACATTCAACCTTGTTGATCATACCTTTCTTTTCATATGTTTTGTTCATTCCCCGGATCTCACTCTCTAAATTCTCCTTCTAATCACTGGCTCTCCTTCTTAGGCCGTTTCCTGGTTGCCCTTTATTTCCCTTGTGTTTGAGCTGGAGTGACCTGGAGCTCATGGCTCAGGCATCTTCTTTATCTGCATTAAATTCTTAAGCAATCTCATCCCATCTTATGATTTAAATGTCATCTATATGCAAACTATTCTCAAATTTATATTTCCAGCTTGGACCTCTTCAGAACCTATGGCTATCTTAAGCTTAATTTGCCCAAAACCAAAATCTCTTCATTCCACTTTCAAGCCTGTTTTTTCCACAGTCCTCTCCATTATAGTACAATTAATGAAGACATCTTTCCAGTTCTTCAAGCCAAAAACATTTCAATCATCTTTCACTCTGCTCTTTATCCCATGACCTGTATCAGGTCCATCAATAAATACTATAAACTCTATCTTCAAAATACACTTAGAACCCAATCAGTTCTCTTTCTACCATTTTCTTTCTCCCCTGGATTAAAGTAGTTTCTACCTTTCCCCCAATCTCCTTACTTTACTTTTGCCATAGGAGCTGCTGTCAAATCATGATAGGTCATTACCCAAAACTTACCACAAGGCTTTGTGTCATTTTCAGAGGAAAAGTCAAGTCGCTGCTATGACCTTACAACTCCTCCACATGACCTGGGCCCCCTGTCTCTCTGATCTCATTTTCTATCATTACTCCATTTCTTACTTCATCCCCACTAGTGACCTCTACCTTCCTTACCCTGTCTTGCGTTCTTCATGCTCATTACCATCTGATATATATTAATTGGTTTATTGGGATGGTATTTGCTCTTCCCCTATTAGAACAGATTCCATTGGGGGAGGCACTTTGGTTGGTTCACTGCTGCGTTCCAGCTTGGCAATAGTCAATTCTTTATGAGTACTTTCAGAAAAAAAGTTAAAGAAAGCTTGCAAGAAAGCTTCCAAATTCAAAAAGAATATTCAATATCAAAGTTGATAAATGACAATCAAAGCTGACTTTTACCATGCATTCTGCTATGCCTGAGATTAAAATTAGGGGTATGAGAATAATATTGGGGCCACACCACAATGCAGTCACAGCTCTAAAATGTATTACCTGTACTATCCAACCTTATAAGCCAGATGCTTGCACATGCTTTGGGGCTCAGCTCAAAACCAGTTCCTATGAAGGATGAGGGAAAAAAACAAAAACAAAAACAAAAATCCCTTGGTTCTTTCACTCCAGAAACAGAACTTAAAGCATGATAAGGAAAGGGACAGAAAGAGATACATAACTTGAAACACCATCTGCTTTTATCCCCATTATACAATATATCTGAAGTCTAATTTATATCCTATAATTTCAAGTTCAACACACAGTTAAACCACCATTAGCTTAGATATTTTAATTTCTTAGCAAATCCTGCGAAGAAATGTATCAGTAAAAGCATAAGAATAAAACATAGCAAAATTTGCCCTCTACCAAAGGACATTTGTTTCCATACTTGTAGCAAGGAGATGATCTCTCCACACACACAAACCCAAAGTAGCCTCGTTTGCCTCCAAGTCTGGAACCTTTTCGATGCTTATATTCACAGCAGGAGCTTAACCTGTTCACTTGTATCCCATTCAGGAAAAAGGTGAGACTGAAGGGGAAACCATGGTGCCTTTTGGAAATAAACTGAAAGGTCTCTGGAATTAAAAAGGAAATAAATCAGTGAAAGAAACTGACTTTGGACTAACATGTCCTAAATCACATTTTTCTATTAGATAAGTACAATATTATTGTCTAGATCACCTTTTAACATGAAGGCAATTTTTTAATCATGAAAAAACCACTCTATTTTTTTTTACTTATTAAAAAAATACTCCAAGCATTTATAAACTCTTTGATTTGTAATAATAATACCTATCGTTTTATGAGGACTTACCAGACATTTTGCCTGATTATGTTAGGTGTATTTCTCAACAACCACTTACAAGACATTATGCCTGATTATATTAGGTATATTTCTCAACAACCACAAAAGGTGGGAATATGACTATTACTAGTTTCTAGATGCATAAATTAATGCTTAGAGAAGTTCAGCAATTTACCCAAAATCATATAGTAAGTGGGAAAGTTAGTATTTGAATCTAGACATCTCTCTAGATTCCATGCCTCTACCTTACTATGTTATCTATTGAAAAAGTACATGACAAAAGGCTAATGCAAACTCAGTAATGCTTTTTAAATAAAGGGGTATTTTTAGTTATGACATGAAAAGTCCTAATTCACACATAGATGAGTCAGACTTATTCTGTCTCCAATCTATTCTCAATTTTACATGAATTTGAGACCCTTTTTTGTTCCACCAACTGCCCAAAAGTTCCACCAACAAATTAAGAACCCCTGGTTGCAATCATATAGGTCTTAATTATTCCAAGTCTCTATAAGGCTCTTTGAAAAGATCTCACCCTAGAGTTCCCAAATCCTCCATCTGAAAAACCACATTCTGCAGAGTGACTCAGAAACCTGCTAGTCCTGCACTTCTAATGTCACTTCCTACAAAAGGAGCTTCCCTGGATCCTTCTACTTCTATCAAGAATAGAGTTCATATAATAATTTTGCCTCTCTGTTACATACACATTTTCTATTGTTGCACTTATTGCAATATATTAAAATATGTCTACACCAGCAAATGCTAGTAAGCATCAGAATCACCTGGAGAGCTTATTAAAACATATATTGCTGGGCCTTACCACAGGGTTTCTGATTAGTTAGGACTCCAGAATTTGCCTTTCTCTCAAGTTGCCAGGTGATGCTATTCTCTTGGTCCAGAAATCACACTTTGAGAACCCTGATTAGATGGTTGCTGCCCTATAAGTGTGGGTACTCCATGAGAGCTGAAATTTGTCACACTCGTCTTCATTTCCCCAGATCCCAGGACAATGGCAATGGAGGCCCCCAATAAACAATTAGTGAGTTCTTCTTTTAACCTATTCCTTTCACAACCGTCTAGAAATATAGTTTATACCACAATACACTTCTAAAAGTAAATCTGACTAAATAAGTCTATAAAGAATAGACTTATCAGAAAGGTAATTCTGTCATTTATACCTTAGATGCTCTAGATTTTAAAATCCAATTGTCTTTATGATATATGGACTCTTTAGTGGTGACCAGAAAGCTTTCACTAAAGAAACCTGAATGGGGCATTCCTGTGACGATCCATTCTGCTGCAGCATCACACCCACATTACCCAGCCCAGGAAGAGCGTGTACCCACTGAGAATGGACAAGGAAATACTGAGAAAGGACATGGAACATCAACATCTAGATGTGACTGCTCCTCCATTTGGTATTCATGTGACTGGAGAGCCCACCCACTGGTTAGGTCCATTTCTTTCTGTCTTTCTTTTTTTCCCAAAACTTACTGGTACCCTCTGCCGTTATTCCCTTATTATTTTGTAACTTTATATTTTAAATTTTAGTGACACTTCCTGACCCTGACTTGACGGTTTCTACGCAGAGTAGTGGAAAGAAAGCAGGCTATAAATTTGCACTGCAGAATTCTTATCTATGAAGTGGAGATGGCAGGAAGAGTGGGTGATGGAGTAAGGTAGAGGGGGTGACCCAGTCTACCCACCTCACAGAGGAGCCTTATTGATTACATAAGGTAAGATATTAGAAGAATTCTATAACATTTTAAAAATGTAGTTATTCATTGTTGACTGAAAATGTGTAGCACTATTTTGGCACTGAGAATAAATAAAAATACTAAAAAAATACCAAATGGGTCCCTTCCTTCAAGAAGTTATGATGTAGCAGGACAGAGACTAAATTGATATACCAGACTTCTGGAGTGAGGTCAGAAAATCCTCTCCCCTTAAATGATGTATCTGAAAATGAACCAAAGATTTAAAATAAACTAAGCAGCCATTACTCATGAAAATGTACTGGACTTTTGGTGAGAACAGTGGAAATCTGAGGCACTCTTGCCTAGGGCTGCCTCATCCTAGAATAAATTTTACAGAATTGTTCCAGGTAAGTTACTAAACAAACAACAACAAAAAAAACCCCAGCAAGAACAATAATCTTCAAGAGTAAAAAGTCAAAGTTCAGAATCATAGCTGCTCTAATACATGATCCAAAATGTTCAGTTTTTCAACAAAAATTCAAAAGGCGCATAAAGAAACAAGAAAGTGTGACCCATACTCAGAGGGGAAAAAATGGCCATCAAACCCTCTCCTAGGAATCTACTCAAGAGAGAAATGAAAGCAGATGTCTACATAAAAACTTGTATTTGTATATTCATAACAGCATGGTTTATAATAGTCTTAAAAATGGAAACAATACAAAGGTCCACCAACTGGGGATGGATTAATAAAATATGGTACATCCACATGATGGAGAAAATATACTAATATTCAGTGGTATAAGAAGAGAGCAGCTATTGATAGATGCTACAAATGGATGACTCAAAAACATTATGCTAAGAGAAAGAAGGCACTAAATATTATTGATTGTATAAGTTCATTTATGAAATGTCCATAAAAGACAAATCTGTAGAGACTGAAAGGAAGTTAGTGGTTGCCTGGTGCTGGCTATAAGAATGGGCATTAACTGCTAATGGGCACAAGGAAACTTTTAGAAATGATGGAGATGTTCTAAAACTAGTTTGTGATAGATCATGGCTGCACAACTCCACAAAATACCTAAAAATCAGTGAATTGTACTTAGAATGAATGAATGCTACAGAATGTAAGGTATACCTCAATAAAGCTATTTTAAAAAACTAAAAAGTCTATATATGATAACAAGACAAAAAACAGTTAATATAAGTCCCAGTACAATGAAATACTTTGGTTTTGAGTGTAGCATAAGAACCATAGCCATCAAGAAATATGGATAACACAGAATAGCAGTCAGCTGAGAAAGTTTCACAGCCTTATTCTGAATCTTAAAAGATGGGGTAGACTTGATTTTAAAATCCTATTTTGAATTTGAAATCCATTGTCCTATTGCAGACAAAGGAAATATCACACAAAAAGACAAGATAACAGAATTGGGGGGTGGGGAGAGTAATGCGGAATGTACAAGTAGTTACAATAGAATCAGGTCTGGAAATACAAGAAAATGAGGTAGAAAAGGAAGAGACTATAAGAGGGCCAGAAACCAGTTACTTCGTTCTTTGTATCCACATGAACCCAGGAGGCCCAGGTTTGCTTTGTTCGAAATGATGAACATGACAAATCAAAATGCCTGTGAAGAACTGTGTTCTTCACAAGTAGCAGAAATTGTTAGTGACTTCTTAGGTGTACATAATAAACAATCAACGTGCGGCTTTATGTCAAACCACAAGACATCATGAATTAATATGGGAATAAAATATGCATTTGCCACATTATTAAATAATTAATTTTATTGTTATTTCCCATCCAAAAGCAAGACAACTTAATAAATACCTCATTTTTAATGAGTTTACTGCTCCAAGCATAATGTTAAATTTTTTTAAAGATAAATCTTCTAAAAAACTATTCACATTTCACTGAATCTTGCAGCTTTGATTTGTAAAAAGGGCAGATTCTTTTCAGTTCAGCTAAATTGCTAAGATTGCTTAACCACAAGTCAACTGTGAGCCATCGCACTTTTCAATTTTGAATGCTTACTTTCCTGACAATGAAGAACAAGCTGAGACAAAATTATTGTGTGGACAGGATTCAATTATTTAAGTCCCTATTCCATCCTATTACTCAAGACTGTCCAATGATATAACAAAACGACAGTCCCAGGACCAATATATATGCAAAAAAACACTCAACCAAGTAACTCTCTCATAACATTTGGTTTTGCACTCTAGTCACAGGCGGCATATAGTCTCCCAGAATTCATTCAGCTAAGCTGTGTTCTTTTTCCATTTGTATGTACCATGTTTTCCAGCAGTCAAATAGACATTATATATGCTTTTTCTTGAATAAACAGTGATCTAAGACCCAGGAAGAGTTTTCTTATGTTAATTCCAACTTCAGACTCTAGCTAATTTTAGCAATTCTAAATTAATGGTTGAAAGTTATACTGTTAAAAAAAAGTCCATGTATCTATGCTACTATCATTAGGAATTTCATAACGATCATGTTGGATCATGTTCATAAAAATGTTGGAAGACCTTTGCTACTGAAAATAGCTAACTGGGGATGGACAGTTCTAAGCAAAGGTCCTGCACGTAGTCAGGGGGCCAGAGCCTGCCCTTGATACTGCCCAGAGCTGCACATGTGCTCTTGGGAAGCCTGTACTTCTGGGCTCCTCTCATTTTCCTCACTACAAAATAGAATGAATGAAGTCTCAAATGTTATAACGAAATGAAACACAGTAAGTCATATTTCTGCTAAGTATATAAAATGGGAGAAAATATTTCTAGCATTATTTTCATAAATTTTATATATTTATGATATATTTTACTTTAAAATTAACATTCAAGTGTTAACCCTTCCTTATGTTGGAAAGTTTTAATATTTAATCCCTAAATATGTATGGCTTCTCTTTAATTACTTGAATTTTTAAAATTAATATTACTGTTTTCTTGATGAGGGAAAACAAACCAAAAGTAACAACCCTATGTTTGCCCCCAACACCTCCCTTAACCCCTAAGTCTATGTATCAAGGATACTAAAGATGGAGGTATAGGTAAACATAGCTTAACTCCTCACACAATCGCAGCAAAAATTACAACTAGACTATAAAATAAATATCACCCAAAGTCTCAGAATATCAAACTGTATGGGAGTTTACCACCAAGGAATTAAAGAAGCAACATTCATCCATAGGGGCAGGAGGGGCAGAGACACGGAGACATGCGGAGAGGCGTGGTAATGCAGAGACATGGCATAGGTGGTCCCTCACCCATATGTGGTTGATAAAAATCGGAAGAGATACCTCAGGAGCAAAGGATCCTAGCCCCACTGATCCCAGTATTCAAGTGCCAAGAAAATAAGTCCCCCTAACTTTTGGCTATAAAGAACAGTGGAGATTGGAGTGGTGGAAGAAACTGCAGGATTTTTAGGTGTCTCCTCTTAAAGGGCCTACAATGGACTTAGGATTTATGTAGATTCACTCCTTCTGGGCTCCAGCCCCATGGTAGCAGCTAGGAGGGTACCAGTGGCACATGGAGAGAAACTGAAGTGTCTGGCATCATGGCGAGTAGCCAGGACAGCTTTCTCACAGACAAAACTCCAGAGGCCAGGCAGTGGCCATTTTCCCCTTTCTGAGCCTTCCCCCAGCACCACAGGTGTGGGGACACCATATCTGAGACCATTGACCTGGTTCACATGGGTTGCCCACCCTGGCAATTCCCTAAGACTCCACCTCATCCAACTTACTGGTGTGTTTTCTACAATAGGCCACGCTTCTAAGGGAGTTAAAGCAGCTCTACCTAATACATAGAAACAAACATAGGGAGGCTGCCAAAATGAGGAGACAAAAAAAATATGGTCCAAATGAAAGAGCAGAACAAAATTCCAGAAAAAATAATTAAACAAAATGAAAATAAGAAATCTATCAGATGCAGAGTTCAAAATGCTGGTTATTAGGATGCTCAAGAAACTCAATGGGCACACTTCCACAGCATAAAACCCAGGCAGAAATGAAGGTTACACTAAGTGAAATAAAAATTTACAGGGAACCAACAGTGAAGTGGATGAAGCCAAGAATCAGATCAATGATTTGTAACATAAGGAAGAAAAAACATTCAATCAGAACAGCAAGGAGAAAAAAGAACCCCCCAAAACAAAGATAGGCTGAGGAGCCTCTGGGACAGCTTCAAATATATCAACATTCGAATTGTAGGGGTGCAAGAAGAAGAGAAAGCAAGAAATTGAAAACTTATTTGAAAGAATAATGAAAGAAAACTTCTCTAATTTGGTAAAGAAAATAGACATACAAGTCCAGGAAGCACAGACAATCCCAAACAAAACGAACACAAAGAGGACCACACCAAGACAACATCATAATTAAAATGCCAAAAGTTAAAGATAAGGAGAGAATCTTAAACACAGCAAGAGAAAAGCAAATAGTTACCTACAAATGAGTTCCCATAAGACTGTCAGCTGATTTCTCAAAAGAAACTTTGCAGGCTAGAAGGGAATGGCAAGAGGTATTCAAAACGATGAAAAGCAAGGATCTACAACCTAGATTACTCCAACCAGCAAAGCTACCACTTAGAATTGAAGGGCAGATAAATTGCTTCCAAACTAAACTCCTAGTTAGTTAGTTAAATCTAAACTCCTAGTTTAGCTCGTTAAAGCTAAAGGAGTTCATCATCACCAAACTATTATTATATGATATGTTAAAGGGATTTATTTAAGAAAAAGAAGATAAAAACCATGAACATTAAAATGGTAATAAATTCTCAACTATCAACAGGAATCTAAAAAACAAACTAAGCAAACAAGCAGAACAGAAACAGAATAATAAATATGGAGATCATTTGGACGATTATCAGTTGGGAAGGGGAAGGGAGAAATTGGTGGAAAAGGTACAGAGATTAAGAAGTTCAAATTTGTAGATATAGAGTAGACAAGGGATGCTAACAACATTATAGGAAATGGAGTAGTCCAAGAACTTATATGCATGACCCATTGACATGAACTAAGGGTGGGGGATTTTTAGAGGAAATGGGATGTACTGGGTGTAGGGAGGCAGAAGGAGAAACACTGGGACAACTAACAGTATAATCAATAAAATATTTTTTTAAAGGCAAAAGTAAAGAATACCCACATATAAATATTTCCTTTAATTAGTGAAAATTCTATTACTTTCTAAATAGAGTTTCTCAAGCAAAGAAATCACAAGTACAGGGGTGAGCAAAAGTAGGTTTACAGTTGTTCATATGGAAAAATACCAATTAATAAATAATACAAGAACAAAGTCGGTGTTTCAAGTACTTGCAACTGTAAACCTAATTTTGCCCACCCTCATATAATCTTCCTTTTAATTGCTGTCCTACAGATTAAATATTGGGGAAAAAAACACTTTCATAAAATATGTGAAACCCTATATGGAATATAAAAATAATTTTAGGCTAATGAAGGGGAACAGAGTTTGCAACACCAAAACATTCCTCTTTGGGGATATTGATTATCTTAAGCTATCACCATAGATCATTCTAGTGTAATATTAACTAGGTGTGGTGGGGAAGACCCAGCAGAGCCTAAATATCAGAGTTCACTCTGTGTCCCCTTATATCTGAACATTTGCTTTTCATCTCCATATGAATTGCTTTCTTACCCTTTGAAGTCCCAGACTCCTACCTCTTCTCCTTAGTTCGGAAAGGCATATACGCCTCAACTACCCATTTTATCTCTGGGCCTCATATTTTTATGGGATCCTTTCTATGTACATACTGGAAAAAGTATAACCATTGTTAATATAACGAGAACAGTTTGCACATCAGTGTAACCTGGCAGCCAAGGAGAGTGGACCAGACTGCGCATGCATGAACAATGATGACTTTGTCATACTAGTCATTGGGCAATGGTAGATGTCTATTGAGTGAGCATTGGTACAGTGTGGCCATTGCATTCAAAATGACTAGCAGGTAGAGCAACAAATTTGTATCAAATTTTGCATCAAGCTGGAACATTCCTCTGTAGAAACTATTTGGATGATTCAGACGGCCACAACTGGAGATTGACAGTTTCATCACAATAATGCGCCTATTCATGCAACATGTCTCCTGCAGAGTGTTTTGGTGAAACACAAAATTACCTGGGTGACTAATCCCCACTTCAGCCCTGATTTGGTGCCCTGCAACTTCTGGCTTTTCCTAAAACTAAAATCACCTTTGAAAGGGAAGAGATTTCAGACCCTCAGTGAGATTCAGGAAAATACAACAGGGCAATTGATGGTGACCAGGAGAACTGTGTGAGGTCCCAAGATACCTACTTTGAAGGGGACTGAGGCATCATTGTCCTATGTACAATGTCTTGTTTCTTGTATCTTCTTCAATAAATGTCTCTATCTCTCATAGTAGATGGTTGATACTTTCTGGACAGACCTCATATATAACTAAATTAGGTTATTTTCTTTTATTAATCTATCTCACATCAATTTAATTCTTAGATCCTCTAGAACTTAAAATGTGTAGAAGAGAATTTTTTTCCTCCCAACATTAACAAACATGGATTTATGATCAAATGAAAGTGCAAATGTACTAAATGAATTTGGCTAAATTCTGTACCATGTTATTTAGGTGCGATTCACCCTAAACTTTATTGGATTTGTGATTTTATCTCAACATACTTCTAAAGAACAAATTGCTAATCTGGTATTTTTCTCTTAGAATAATGTATAATATAATTCACTATGGCAAGCCAAATAATTAACTTGTAATTTGGGGGACATTTTATTTGTGCAACATTTTAGTAATCATATATCTCTATCCCCAAATTAATCTGTTACTGGGTGGTTAAATCGCTCCAAATTCTTTCTTTCACAATCTGTAAGAGTAATCGCTGCTCAGTTTCAATCATGTAGTACTAAATTCTGATTTACTTTGAGGCAGCTGGTTTATAAATCCCTGGGTATACATAATTTTTATAGAGAAATTGAAGTCATTTTGATATCAATAATAGCTTATCTATAACATTAACTTCAAGCACTTAAAAAGAATTCGCATTTCATGTGTACCTTTCTCAAGCAGTTTGCCTTTGTAGACGCACAGGTTTTCTCCACCGCAGTGCTGTTGATAAACTTTTATTTCATCCCGGAAGTCTGGGTGACCATAAGATAGGTGCACATTTTTCCCCAAATAGATCATTGTAATAACTGCATTACTATGCAGTGGTGTTTTGTTAATCCTTCTTGAATCCTAGAATAAAAAAAGGGGAGCTTATTACCTAGTTACCTTCTAATCAGCGTGTGATGACATTGTAATATGAAGAACAGAAAAGGTTATTTTTAGGTACCTAGCAAAAAAACGTTAATGAAACTTCAATCTACACAGTGCACAAAAAGTGAAGCCCATTACAAAATATGTCCCTCTAACAATTATAACATATACATTTTGGCTTTGCATTTTTAATTAAATGCTGGGAACTTGGACAAAACTCATCACTTTTTATTTTGCGTGCATGTATGTGTTTTATATGTAACCATAATATCAAAAATGCTAAGAGGAAACTGCTCATGGATATTTTAATTGGTTCTTTAAAAAAACAAACAAACCTCAAATCAAATTAATTAAATAAATGTTGGTGACATAATTTTGTTCTTAGTTGAACTGACATTGATTGTGATTTAGCAATTGTTTTTGTAATTGAGAGCTCTAGCTTTACCCTTCTGCACTGACACCTGAGCTTATTCTGATGCATACATGAGATTCCTTCTATGGTTACTGTGAGGATTAGGGACAAAGTATGTGCCTAGGACTATCCAGTTTCACAGGAGGAATTCAATTCAACAAAAACCAACATTATTATTATAAATATCAAATATACCCAATTAAAAAATCACCTCCTAAACCTGTCTCATATTCTCTGTTGTTGACCAATTTAAGGAATTTATAAAATAAACAAATTTAAATTCCAGAGATTAAAAGGAACGTCCTATCCCTTACTTTCTACTTCATACAATCTGAAGTATTTTCACAATAGTGAATGAGCATAGTATTTGCTTAACCTTTAGGAGGAAGATGAGGAAAGACGTGGAAAAGGAAAGGGGAGGAGAAGGAGGCAGAGCAATCTCAATGGCTCACTGAGATACTTCAAAAGGGTCCAATAAGAATATTTTGGCTTTTAGCATGATACAGAGGCCAAGTATTACTTTTAACTTACTTCACTTCTCTAAAAATCAATTTTTAGCTAAATGAAAAATGTGTAGAGACCAACTTGCAGTGAATAGAAGGCAATTATTTGAGTTTGATTTTATTGAATTACGGATGCCTTGGAAGCATGCATTTGTTTTTTAAGAATAACAAAGCTGCAATAAAAATTTCTGCAGGAGCTACTAAAATATTTCCATCTCTAAACTCATCTCCTTCCACCTCAAAGATTTTTTTTTTCATTCAATTCTATTTATCTGAAGTAAAACCCCAAGGACGTAATTGTCATAAATGAAATTCTACAAATGACCACCTGAAAAGTGTAAATAGAGGGGGACTTTGAGGTTTAAAATTTAAGCAAATTGTCTTGCCTGTGGACACATGGAGCTCCCAAACAGAAACATTTCAGGGACATCAAGAGCTGTGAAGGTAAATCAGGAAACTGGATAATTCTTTGCTGATTAGAAGCATCTCCCTGAGTCACAGTTGAAAGCAAAGGGATGATGGCAGGCCTGGCTCCGAGCTGCAGAATAATCCCATGTTTCCTCCCGCCTGGGCAGCTGTGGAGCTGCGACATGCATGTGTGCAGCCTAATGCAAAATCGCCTGCCTAAGGCACATCCCGCTCCCAGCTCCCACTAGAACATTTCATGATAAAACGGATGAAATAAAAGCATCCCCCCTCCTTTTGTTAAGCTATATTTTCTAAAGTAGCATGGATGCAGAGGCAGTCCGGTGAGCTTCCGGAAGATAAGCACTATATAAACACAATGTAATAGTGGGATTGGAGTGAAGGAAAGCCCGCCTCATATGCACAAAGTGAGAACTGGAAGGAGGAACATTTAAAAATAAAATAAAGAAAATGACAGCTCTTCACCCTTTTCATTTACTCTTATTCACATTGCTTTTTCTGCTAAAATGTACTCCTGATAGCAAAATCTCTTTTCTCCTGGGTCTAGTTATTTCATTCCTTTTAAAAATATTCTCTTATTATTGCCACCAAATAACCTTTCCTGGGTTCTAACAGGAGGCCCAAGTGACAGCTCATGATTAAATACGTGTACTAGGAAACGAACAATTGTTTCTTTCAGTTGACTAAATTGCCTCTATACTTGCCATCTTCCAAGGTTATAATGACCCCAGACTGACCAAATCGTAACAGGCTTCCATGGACCTTTCTGCAATCCTCAGGCAAAAGTCAAAATCATCTATTAAAATTCAGCTCCATTTGTTTAATTCCAAAGTAGAGATTTATTAAGAATTATTTAGTTTCTGCATAAAAATCACCAATTGTTCTGCATTGGGTTTTTAATACACATCATATCTTTGGGGGTTCCTCTATTCACCCTATCACTTTTAAAAATACAGCTCTTTCTAGATCCAGGAAGGACAATTAAAAACAGCAGCAAGGCCTCATGGCCCTGTACAGCTAAGGGTTATCTTTCTGACTTCCTTCTCCACTTGCTTATGACTCTCCTCATTTCTTTTCAGGTTTTTCAGGCAAGTACAATCTGAGCTGACAAACAGCAAGACCACCGAATGATAAACCAGTTAGCCATTGCATATTTATAATATTTAGCATTCAATTGATATATTGTTTTCACTGGGATCACTGGTATCCCTGCCTAGACCTGTGTGAGGTGCACATAAGAGATTTCTACAGATGTCCAAGTGCATGTATTTGTTGATAGTGTTTGGCAGCAATTTCTTTCCATCCACGTAGCCAAGCCCTGATGAACTCTGGATATCATAAAGTCTTACCTGGACCACTGCAATAAACTTCTAGTCAGTAGTGTAACCATAGAATTTATGATCCAAACTAGGACATAGTGAAAGAGGTGTTACTAATAATTATGCTATTCAGCAACACTGAAAGAAAAAGAAATCAACAGAGACAAGAGGGAAGGAGGGAGAGGGGGCAGGGAAAGGGAAGGGAAGGGGAAAGTCAAGGAACATATAGCAAGGACTCATGGACAAAACCAAAGGGGAAGAGCTGAGGGAGGGAAGGCAGGAGGGGGCAAGGGAAAGTGGTGGGGGGAGGCAGAGACAAATGTATGTGAAAAAATAAATTAAAATAAAATTTAAAAAAAGACAAAAAAACACTAATTTGAATTGTTCCAAGAAAGCTAAGATGCATGCTTACCCTACTAATTGGTTTCCCCGCTTCTAGCCTGATAGCCCTCAAAATCTCCCTCCTCCTGGATATCAGAGTGATCTCCTGTCACTAAATTGATCATGTAACTTTATGGTTAAAGTCCTCCAATGACTCTTGCTATCTAGGAAATGACGTCCAGCATTCTGCAGACAACATAAAATGTCTTATATTCTCTAACTTAATAGTCTCTCAACTATTGCAGTTTCTTGTGTTGCATTAAAAAGTCCAGCAACTGAACTAACTATAGTGGCACAAACATGGCCAACCTGCTTTTCATCTTCAGACATATGTAACTCTATGAGTCACATGACATTGAAACTATTTCTTTGTATTCTTCTCAGTAGGCAAGGACAATGTCTTAACTACCTTTATGCCCCCAATGTCTTGCCAGTGTTGACACCTAGTATTGGACACATACCTGGAACTGTTAAGGATTCCAGATTTTATCCTTTGCTGAGACAAAGCTATTAGTAAGTTGACCCCACCCTAAATCAGAAGCTTTCTCTATTTATAGGAACTTGGTAAGAATCAGAACAAGAAAACTGATTCAAGACATCCCATTTAATAGAATGACACCTTTGGTGATTAAGCCTTGATAAGATTAACAAGATCCTGACCATAAAAAGTGTCATAGAGTCCCCATGTTGACTCGGCCTTAGAAAGAAAAAAAATTCTGACAGGAGCCAGAAACGGGATGTTCATTTCCTAAAGGTTCAGGAAGCAGCTGCTTATAATAGAAACATATAGCACCCTCACTATGTTCATTTGGTTCTTCTCTCTCTCCTTTCTCACCAGTTTTTCCTTGTTCTCTCCTCTTCCCTCTTTTGCTTTACTATGCCTCCTCTTTTCACTTTCCTCTTGCCCATTTCTTACTACTGTGTAACCCGTATCATATGCTTACTCCTGCCATGCATGCAAACACTGTATGTAAACACTTCTGAGGTATCAGAGCTCCAAATTTTGAGGATGCTGAATTGACACATGAGCCTTCCCTTCCTCATTTCCTTCAACAGAATAAATTCAGTAACTCTGCTAAGAGCCAGAAATTATCCAGGTGGAATTTGCTTTGGGTGAAAAGGCCCCCAAATCTGACCCTCTTAGGAAAAAGGTGTTCCCTTAAACTCCAGCTGCTGCAGACACCCAGAAGCATCTTGGTTCTTCGTTTCTCCCTGGGTTTTATTTCACAAGGCCATCTGCTAAGATATTTGACTGTTAAATTGGATTTTTAAACTCTTTTCCAAGTCCTTTTAGTTATGTAGTTACCAAACTGCAGTGCTAATTTTAAGCAAAAACATTGTTTAAAGCATTTGTCTGAAATAAATCAACCCTACTATGAGATATGTTGAATAACCATATATTAAAATTATGCTGATGTTTTTCTTTTTTTACTTTCAAATCTGAGTCTTCTGGTGAGAAAAACCAAGATAATGCATTGACTAGAATGGAAATTGAAAACCTATTTTTAAAATTAATTCAAAGAGAAGAAATGTGCAATTTCTCTAACAAAGCTAATATTTATTTTCCTTTCCTGTTGTTGAAGAAAAAGGGTTCTATATCAGAAAGGTATGATTGATTTTCAGGATCTCTTCCTCAGATAAAAAGTATAATTGAGTGTATTTTTCATACAGATAATAAAGCAATACCTATTTATGAACACAATACCATTAAATATTGGATTAAATATAAATAAAATCAAATACCTGTCCTCAACAAGCTTCATAATCTAGGACTAAAAGAATACACAGTATGGGACGTAGGAAAAGTGACAGAGTCCTTTTGAAGAAAGGAAGGGGTGGGGTGCTGCTACAATGTATAGAAATACACTGTGCAGTGCAGAGCTTTGGGGGGCTTGGAAAGGTATGGTCATCTATTCTTCTTACCTGCCAGACACTCAC